AAGTTCTAACGAAACACAACATGGAAATACATTGCCCGATTTAGTTCCCTATAAAGAGTTGTGCATCCATCTTGATCAAATCAGTACGACAGATAATATTCAACAAGAAAGTCCTTCAACTCTGCTCAGAAGTGTTCCAGTTAAAAATGAAAAATATAATAGCGGTAGAACGGAATCTTTCTCGTCATTACAATATAAAAAATTGAAGCGTGGTATTATTTCAGACCTCAAAATTTCTGTATTAGATGTAAAACATCAACCTGTACATATAGGATACTTAAGTGTAACACTCCATATTAAAAATAATGGTTGATGCATCAGGCCCTGGAACAGTAAGACAATGTAATACAATTGCGCTTTCCGATCTCGGAGACACGGAAGGATTTGATAAACCCGGTGACAATGGTAAGTTATACGCTTTACACTTACACGATAATGTATACAAGCGGAAAGAAGTCACATTCACGGGTAATCTAGGAGATTTAAGCGATGTCGACGTTAGTAGACTCCTTAAAAACACTTCGTACAATATTACTCGCAACGATGATAATAAATGGACTATGGTCGAAGCAAACATCGAGTGGCTACTGAATATCGTCATTATCCCACCTTATGCGATGATGGGTAAGGGACATAATTTAACTAAGATAATAAATAGTGGCATCGTACTCGCGGCTTATATCCCGTCAAAACGAAAAAGTGTGTTGGTCACTCCCCTGCCAGAAAACCCAGGTCATATGATATATAGTCGTCCGTCCTTAAAAAACATTAGTTTAAATTTGGTTACTGAATTCGAAGATATTAAAGTTAACCTGAGTGCAATACCTAATATTTCTACGCTTATTATTGAAGTCTTGTTCGGAGATGTACCGGTAGATGCCTTCGAAATATTACCAGGTCTATCGATTAAATGGCTCAAGAATCACGAGCGTCAACGTTGCAGTATTATTCATATCGGAGCATCGCCCGTTGCAACCCTCGAGGGGGTCCAAATTATTAAAAGTGGTAGTATTTCTCTTTCTAAGATATTCTTGCCGTATAATATACATTTAATAAGGTTGATGTATAGTCTCAAAACATTTAAGCAAGACCAATTAAAGACTATTATATGATCGTTATATACACTATGAGTTTATATCCGGCGCTCAATGAAGCATTTGAAAAGATGGAAACTGTTGATGGATTTCGATTACATCAAATAAGCGACATAAAACATCGAATAGAGAAGGATAGGGAGTTGAGACTTGGATTGTATAAAAGGTATCGCAGAGCCGTGAATGCTCTGGACGGAGTTGACACCGCTCTTGTAGCAGCTAGCATGGGACTCGGTGTAGCGGGTATCGGTTTACTATCAACTATAATCGCCGCGCCTATCGTGCTCGGCATGGAAATAACCGCTGGAGTCTCGGGACTGGCAGGAATATCGATAAAATTCATTTCTCGTAGGTTACAAAAGAAAGCATTAAAACACGATAGTATTCGGATACTCGCCGAAGCAAAGTTGAATAGGCACCGCGTTTCACTGTGCAGAGTTGTGTCCCTTGGGCACGCCAGAAACCTATGATTGTGGGTTCGAATCCCAGTTTGCCCCGATTATGTTTCTAGGTTTGTCAGCACCATACCTGTGCTTGTGGGTTTCACCGAAGTGGTAAACGTCTAAGACCTGTATCATTTCGGGCTTTCCTCCCACATTAAGCTGACACACCGTGATATAACTGTAATACTGTTAAAAGTGGCTTTAAACCTAACTCTTTCACTCACTCTTGTGACCGTGGCTCGAGAGAGAGAAGTTCATGTATTAGATGTCAACAGAGTGCCCTTTGAGTGTACTTTACAAGGGAAAGTTTTTCTGAGATAACGATGGGATTTCATCACCATAAATCAACTTCCCGGTCAATCTGATCGGTTGTTTATCATCCCACCTTTGACATCGATCTTAAACATGACGATCACGAAGACGTATCCTTGTGTCTGGTACATGCACTTCGGATCTCCCTGGATGCAGCGAAACCTCTTCAACGATCTTGGAAGAGACTGTTCATCCTGCATTTCCAAGACAGGAAAGTTAAGGAAGTATCTCGTACCATGATTTCATTCTGGATACATTCTGTCATTCTCCGAGCCTACACCTTTGCTGGTCTGCCTGCTCAGGCCGCATTAAACCTCCACAACACCTGTGCTATTGCCTGCGCTGTTGCCTGCGCTATGGCTCTCCAAAGTAATTGTTCCTTGACTGCAGTTATGGAGGGATGCTTCTGGAAGTCAGATCTGGTCTTCGCATCCCATTACCTCCAAGACATTACCATTACCTCTGTGGCAGACACCCAAGGCCTTCACCAGTTTGGATCCACAAACACAAGTCTCCAAGACACATCTGCGCTGAGTGAGTCAAATAACCAGTTTTTCCCTTATGTTACATCTACCTCTACATATAACAAACCTTGTCATGTTTGTTTGTGTTTATTGTACTCTTTTGGGCTTCCCAGACTAAACGTCTGATTGGAGGATGTAGTCACCGTCTGTAGAGACTTCGGTCAGCATGTGTGAAGTTGCCATCAGGTGCAGCTGGATCCCGGTGTCCCAATCCCCTATTCAACGCACCTTTACCTTGTGTGTGTTTTGTGTGTGTGTATGTGTGTGTGTCTGTATGTTGGGAAGTGGATCGACGATCCTTTTGTGGATATCGCCGATCGTTCCTCTTCTCGTCGTAACACATCGATTCATGATTGAGGGTTTGAAGAAGTGTTAAAGGAGATTCCAAGTGGGCAGATCCAGCGTCCTTTGTAGATTTGACGAACTGAATACAATGTTAGTCATACTCCTTTCGGCTTGGCTTGCACTCGTTTACATATGAACATGTTACACATATTGTACCCGACTTCATGTGTTTTCCTGTATTTACGTATCAGGATCATAATGCTCTTCGAGAGTGTCTCATTCCTATGCCTGAGCTTTATCTTATGATACTTTAACTATGTTACTTTATTTTGTTTGGCATCACTATTAAGCTCCAGCTTCGATCCTCATAGCTTTATCCTATGGTGGTGATATGTCCATCCGTCCATCCCTGCTTCACAATTTACTTACCCTGAACGGATCGATTGTCAATGTTTTCGTGGTACCTGTTCCAGTTTGCTTATCACACACTGGGAAATATTGAACAAATTAACCACTGCACTCTCACTTCTTCCAGTTTCCAGCACAAACATAGAATGAAATCGAGTAAATCAAAACTGTATGATAAGCAGAATCAGTAACATTGACAGAAATAATTGTCCACAAAGATTAATTGACCTTCCTTGCAAGTTGAAAGCCAGGAATGACACCTTATCAGGGCTCAAGAAATCCACTCGTCTGCTGGTATTGACGAGTAGAAGCATGTGGAGGGCAAGAAATACATACATATATTTCAGTCATATCAATGCATCTTTAATTGTTTTCAATAAAATATGCAAGATAATTTCGTACCTAAAATATGTTTTCATCTCTCGCATGATCTAAGTACAGTGATCCCCTGGCCTCACTGCAACACTAGCTTTGGGGTCCAAATAATTGATGAGCGTTATAGTCGATCAGCGGTTTAACCGAGGTGTCGTCGTAGGGGCTTTCTGCGCTACGTGTATGTCGATTGCGAAAACGTTATGTTGACATCTAATTGTCAAATTGCCACAAATATGACTTTTAAGGAGTCAAAGTATGGCATTTATGATATATGTATCCATTCTCTGGCAACAAAAGTTTGTTTCAAGGTATCAATACCGGTAATATTGAAGGAAATTTTGAATAAAATATATAACAAACATAAGTCCAGGTATACAATAAACACAATTTTACAACCAGATAGTATATGGGATTAAATTGCAAACTTCAGTTCAGATTTGTTGACGGGTAATTCCAGAGTTACATGCTTGTTGTTAACAGCTGATAATGTTTTTTAGATGGGGAAAGACATCGTGTCAGTGTAAACCTTGAGTTTGATAAAAATGTAAGTAAGTTTTGGGAGCCATGCGTTAGATGACATACTTGGCAACTGTTTCTTGCAAAAATAAACAGGAAGTACGTTTGTGCAGCAGGTATCGAAACTAGGGAGATCATTAAAAAGAACTGTTTTTGTTGTAAGAGACTTGTTACTGACGCTCAGATGTCAAAGCAATAGTGAACAGCTGATAAATGATTTTGTTAGGGAAATGGCTGATATACGGAATTTTAAGATTTTGATTGGGGGTGGTGGGGTTAACGAAAAAAATAAATAAATGATTTAATTAACAAACAGGTCAAAAGTTTTTCTCTCAAAAGCAGTAAGGCTAAAAACAAACCACAAGATGCATGGTGAGTTTGAATGGGTGGAGATGAAATAAAGATGGCAAGAACTCTGAGTTAATTTGTACTGTCGGTAAATGCAGTAAATGATAGCTGAGAACATAAAACTTTAGACAGCCAAAACTTTATGAAATTTAACAAGGCAACTTAAAATATTGCAGGAGGATGACAAAATTTTATCTACTTACCCTGCAGGACAAGTTGGGTTTAAGAAATTTTTCAACCTGCTTATAAATAACAAATGTTATATTGGGATAACACTTTCTTAACAAAGTACAGATTCTCGTACTTTTCTTTGGTTGAGTCCCATCCTGGATTCGAACCCACACTGCCAGAGTGAGGCATCTAATCGCCGGCACACAAAGTCAGCGGTCTAACCCACTCAGCCACCGAGGCTTCCACAAAAATGAATGTCTGACAACTGGTAGTCTAGATCACATACTTTGTGTACCCCTCTGACAATATATAGCCTCAGTAATTAGCATCGTCGACCCTGAAAACAGTTTCACTTAGTTATTTTTGCCCTCTGTATCTTGGCATATTAGCCATTAAAATCTGTAAAACAAGAAGCTGAATTGACTTAATGGTAGCCAAGGCCAACTGAAACACTGTATAGTAGAAGAAGCATTTGAGAATAAGCTACTTCCTAGGCCATGACGATAATTCTTTTTCACTTGCAGGCATTCACACAGAAGCAGAAGAACCTCCTTGCCACTTGGAAACAACAGGCCCACAAGATTTGGCAGCCACCTCCCTACAAGTATGGCACTGACAAACCTAGAAAAGTGTAAGATGCATATTTTACTCCGATTTGTTTTACAAGTACCTGGCTAGGACTGTGTGTTTGACCATCATGCTGGTTCTTTCTTGTTATATTGGGAATTGTTAAGTTTGAGATGCCATTTCTCTGTGTAACTTTGGAGCATAGCAGATTTATTGTGGTTGCCTTTTGAAGCTAACAATTTCCATGATTACGGTAACAAACATAACAGTTTCATTAAACCCATGACCTACTAATGAGAATACCTTGATGCTTTTACTGTATTTTTGATTAGGAAGACTGAGCTGTGAGAGGTTTTGGCTGCAGAAGTTGGTGTCCCAAGCAGTTGTGTGGCATATGCCCTCCCACAACTACCACGTGGACAGAAGTGGCGAAGTCACGAATAATCACATTACTGCTAGTCATCGGACTGTATAGACATTCGAGAATAAAGCTCCACAGTTTCAAGAATCAGATAGCATCCTTTGCTTATCCTTTGATAACAAATACGATATCAATTGTATGTATTACAGCCTGGTGTACTGGGATGGTCCCTTCAGACTTCAGCGTAATTTACGCCTGATTTTGGCTCTTTTCCACACTTGTTTTGCCACGTCATGTTTGCATGTCTTGTGCTTTGATATTCCTATATGCCTATCTTCGCTCTTCTTCATGTGCTATATACTTTTCTATTCTGGGCTATTTAAGTGTATAATTATACTCTTTATATTGTATTTTTCTCTTGTAAACTTTCTAAAGGTTTGAGTCATAATTACATGCCCGTCTCTTTTTGTTGACATATATGTCTTTTCTGCTTGCAACCTTTGTCTATTTCAATGAAAATATAGCTCAAACTGTTGCGGCATTAAATCAGCCAGAGATCCCACATCTCCAATGCGCTGATTGCATGGTTCCCTGTTCCATGTCATCGTGGTGAGATCTTTGCTGATCTCTCTCCCCTCATGACTTCACTGCATACCTCAGGGTCTTGAGAAAACGACACACCCAACTTGTCCACAGGGACACTTCTCGCCGATCACGTCAACACTACAAAGCCGCAATCTTCCTAATTGGAGCAGTGCCTCTCGTCCCCACTTTCGTCGACTGTGTTCATGCCTGGTGTTTCCGCTCCCATGATCACCTCTTTGTCGTCAGCTCATCTGCCGCCTACACGCACAGCACTGCCGCCTCTCATGATGCCTCCTGGTTTTGGCTGCTTCCCTACACATATCTGGATCCTGCTTTGGTCCATTGGATACAATCTATGTTCCTATCATCCGTGGCTCCGGTCTTTACTGTTCCCATACCGGCGCCCTCAGCTACTCATCGCCTCCGACGTTTCAACCATTGATCAGTATACTGCCGGCATCCCCAACTCCGGCTCCATTTGCGAATCATATAAATATGCCTCTGTTTTCATTAACTACGAATACCTCACGTCTGTTCTTGGTTCCTTTCAAGGACGCCACTACACCTCAGGTTGACAGCCTTTGAGTTGGACATGCACCTAGCAAAGTATTGGATTGGATTGCAGACTGTTTGGCTTCGGTCGCTTCCTCCCAGGGCCACAAAAAAGGGACACAATTTGGTCCTCTCCTAAGTCCATCCCGCCGGTTTCCATGCTTACTGTTTTGATAGCATTGATTTCTCCAAACTATCCCTCACCCCGCATTTAAGGCGTCTCGTTATCGGAAACTAGATTTCCCCATACATGCGTTCAAAGCGCTAATCATGTGCCCTTGCATGATGATGATTTTCATGGTTCCTCTGGGCCAACCACTTGTTGTATGCCCAACACTCAGCTAACCTTCATTGAGACTGAGATTCCGTGGTCGCTCAAGCACTTATCCGTCTTGGTCTCTCCTGCCAGAACCATTGATCAAGATCTCACTCAGGGTAATCCTAATCGGTTTGATCACTTGTATACTATGATGTCCTTTTGACAACATCATCTCTGTGCGGCTTTTGCGGAGATCACTACCACCAGGTGCCTCGGTTATCTCGCCTTACAGCTTGAGATTCTAAGTTCAAGAGGCAACTATAACTTCATGCCTTGTAGTGGTATCGTCACTCTTCAATGGCCCCTCTGAAGTCCATGCACAATCTCCAGCTTTGTCCGTGATAAAATGGCGCTTAAATTCCACATCTCCAATCAATCCAAATTCAAACCAGCAATTTTCTGCCTAGGCATGTATCTCTTAAGGGTTCCCCCCAAGGCTTCCTATTCCTTTCGCGGCAAAGATCAACACCTTTCAAAGCAACAAGGCAATTATCAACACTGCCGTTGCCAACACAAGCCCTAGCGCCCAACACCTGGGATCTCCCAGTCATCACATTCCCGTTGGTAGGAGATTGGGCAGATTTGGGCCAATTGGACAATTCTGCAAGATCTCTTTGTCACCAACATCCTTCGTCAGGGGTACCGGCCCTTAATCTCTACCTTATGGCGGATGCCCATGTCCCAGGTTCAGCTCTTGCTCCAGACCATTCAGCTTCTGTTGCTCAAGCAGGCTGTCAAGATTATTCCCGATCCAGTGGCACATCCAGGTTTCTACTCCCCAGTGTTCCTAGTGCCCAAGAATGATTTGTCCAAATTCTGTATGATCCATAATCTTGCCGTCTTCAACAAGTGGACTTTGGTCAAACAACAGCACATCAACAATCCAGAACTTGAAGCACTCATCCAGGCCATGTCTCACTGACAGCACACAGTGCTTGCCATGTCCACAGACTTGTTATTCGTCATCCCTACTGTCTCAGACCTTCCGGTTCTTTCAGTTTGTGGATTGACTGCACCTGAGGTTCATTGCCCAGCACATCCCCGGTTGCTGCAACATCCTGGCATACGCACTCTCCAGACCGGACAAAGTGGCTCCCAAGGATTAGATGCTCTACCCCGATGCCTTCAGCCAGGTTTTACCGAGGCCACTCATCGACCTATTCGCCACGAGCCAGAATTATCAGATCCGGGCCTACATCTCTCCGGTCCCGGAAATTCTAGCATGGGCAGTTGATGCATTTAGTGTTCCCAGGACAGGTCTACATGTGTACGCTTTTCTGCCACCTGTACTACTTACCACGGTTCTGCCGAAGGACAAAAGCACATTGAATCTATCACTGCTTTTGATCGTGCCTTGGTGGCCCGCATGGAATTGGTTTGTGGATCTTTGAGACCTCGCCATTCACAACCCTCTCAAGCTTGCTTGGTGGCCACATCTACTGGTACATCCTAAGTCAGTTGCCACACCCAGCTTCAGACAAGTTTCGTCTGCACGCTTGGTACATCTCCACAGGGCCCTAGGTGCCAAGCTAGAGTGGCGAAGGCTATTGCCTTAGCACAGAGACCTTCGACACATACTCTGTATGATAAGTTCCTTTGAAACCTTCTGTGAGGATAAGAAACAGGACCCTATGTCTGCATCACTGCAATTTTTGGCCGATTTCCTTCTCCATCTCCACAGTAAGCATCACCTCAAGGGTAGTACCATAACAACTTATCTGGTTGCCGTCAATTCGGTGCTAGCAGTTCCTACAGATCTCATTATTGACTCAGATTCCAGAACTACAGTCACTGTTGTGGTTGTTTCGCCTGGAAGATCAATGTGCCAAGTTTCGTCCCCCAGCCTGGGATTTGAATGTGGTTTTGAAGTCGCTTTGTATCGCTCCCTTTGAACCATTTCACTCGTCATCTTTCTTCAATCGTACCAAGAAGACGGTATTTTTCTTGGCGTTAGATATCTTGACACCCTTGATGTCTCCTGAGTATGGTGCTGTCCATCTTGGTCTGCGCTGGGAGTTCATTGCTAAGAATCATCTTCATGCATTTGTTCATGATGCACTTATGTGCAAACAATATCACTCAGTCATATGTTTGTTCACAACATATTCTGTGAGTGAGTGAGTGAGTGCATTGGGTTTAATGCCGCTTTTAACCTTATTCCAGTTACATCACGGCTTGTCAGCTTAATGTGGAGAAAAGCCTGGTGTGATGCAGGTTTCAGACGTTTTCCACTTCGGTGAAACCAACGAGCATGGTTATGGTGCTGACAAACCTAGAAAACGGGATTCGAAACCCACAATCATAGGTATCTGGCGTGCCCAATTTTAAAACTCAAAATCAGCGAATCGCGGTGCCTTATGCAACTGGGCCACCCGTGCCCCTCTCGAGAATGACTATGAACGTAAAAGGCGACTATGCTTGTCGTAAGAGGGAATTAGGTGTTCAGACTCGCTGACTTGGTTGATGCATATCATCGTATCCCAGTTGCATGGATCACTGCTCATGACATCAATCACTGGACTTGATTATTTGCAGACCGCCGTCATATAGCTGGAATATTGCTGAGTGTGGCGTTAAACAACAATCAAACAAAACAGATACTGTCTTCGCTAGTCATCATCTCCGAGGCGTGGCTCTTGAAGTTGTGCAAGGTGTTCGTAGTTCCGGTTCCCTGGTGGTGGTGCAGCAGGTCACACACCCCAGACGGTCTTGTCTCATACAGCTCGGAACTGAGAGTGCCACTTCTCTGGTAGAAATTACCCCAGACTGGAGGGTTTCATGTTTCCTCTTATTCCAGCTGCTTGAATTGGAATTTGGAACTTGGCTGCCTCCCTTTTCTATTTTTCCTTTTTCCATGACTGGATTTCACACCTCCTCCTACTCTCTCGTGGGACAGGAAAGGTCTGTGGTTTCCAGTGGTTGGAGGTTCTAGCCTAAAATTCTATCTGATAGGTAGGCAGGCCCCTCCATTCTGTCTGATAAAAGTGCATTAAGGTAGTAATATGCATGTGCCACACAACTGGTTGGGACAATAACTTCTGCAGCCAGGACCTCTTACAGCTCTGTCTTCCTAGTCAGAAACAGCAGTAAAAGTGTTAAGGTAGTAATGCAGGATAAGTAACCAAATGTAAAAAATTATATTTTACAAATTTTGTTTCAAGTATCAAGGACTGCATTTGGAACCTGTGGTGATTGTTGTATCTTACAACTGTTGTAATTGTTGTATTTTACAGCTGGGGTAATACCTTCCCACTTATTGGAACATCTTTCAACAATCGTATCAACACCAAACAAATTAGGATCCCTCCCAAACATGGCATACAGCAGTGGAGCTTTGGCTCCAAGCGGTCGGTTGTTGGGGCCCAGCCTACAGGACATATACCCCTACAGAAGAACAACTCCCTCAACACTACATTTCTCAACAAACCTGGGCTGCTAGAGGCATGTATACACCCATTGATATCTATGTGATAACCATCAACAAGCAAATCTTATGTTAAAGCAGTTGGACCCTTAAATAGAACAACTTTGTTGTAATTAGCATCTCATTGTCAAATTAAGTGAAAACAGCCAGGAAGACAAAGTGCTTAATCATTATTTCCAATTCTTCTGTGTTTGATGCAGTTCATCTCAGACTGATGCACAAATGTTTTGCATTCTGTCCCCACAGTGTTTGACTTCCTCCAAACTTGTGTGCTGGTCACTTCATCCCAAATTATGAGTTACAAAAACTCATGAGTTCTTTAATCATTCAGATATTGCTGAGGATGGATAGTTTGTAAATACAAACCTAATTTTGTAATGCCTTGTTTCAAAACCCCTTATTAGGTTTGACAATGATCACTTCAAAACTTATTTTTGAAATGCTTGTTATTAAATGTGATATCTGGTTTTAAAGCAAGACATTCAAACCCTAGGTTTCAAAATGATCAACTCAGAAGTTTTCTTGACTTTATTATTGACTCAATCAGTGAGGGATAGGGCTGGCTATCGATACAGATCATAGAGATCGATAATCGTTAACTTAAATATTGATCAATTATCAATAAATATCAGAGAAGTATCTTCGAGCAAATACGCAAAAGGAATCCTAAAGTAATCATACTTAGTGGAGATTTGAGATATAACAAAAACAGTTACTTTCCATCTTCAGCAATTAACATGACTGACAATAACAATTCTGTTTTGGTAAATCTAAACTTTATTTCATCACAATAGTTTATGTGAGGTATTATCGATGACACAATTTTCATATAGATAATCGTTAATATTTCTTCCCATTGATGATAATTCTAATTATTGATTTTTATTTTGACAGCCCTACTGAGGGAAACCTCCAATTCTAATTGAGCAGCAGTCCTTAATCTGGGCCTAGCTTATGATTCCAGTAGGACCAACTCATTAAACTAGTTATTACTTACCTATGTTGATAGTCCTAAATTGGGTAAATATAGCCTTGATGAAAATGAATATTCATTGCTTAGTTTTATAGTTTTCTGCACTGTGATTGTGATTGCCTCCTATGTGAACAGGGGAAGCAGCAGGTGGTCAGAACCAACTCGGCTCCAATCAGGTCAGGACAACTCTCACTATCTGTGCCTGGTAAGATCACTTTCTTTTCTTTTCCTGCACCTTGTTAGATGAAGCATTTTGCAAACAGAACAAAGCTGGAACAACAACACAAATCTGGCAAGGACAGATATGCTCCAAGCCTGTTAACTTTGTCTGTGTGGGCTATAAATTTTCAATGGTCGCAGGCACACACACAGATGCACATGCATGTCGCTATTTAAGTGCAATAATAAAGCCATGTCACGTCACCACCTCACTGTGAGACATGTCCTTGTGTAGTGGCTGTGTAGCATGTAGCAAAGGGGTCTTCAACATCCCATAAACTTGACATCATGTCTGCAAGGATGGCTTTTGGAGATACTTGATGATTGTCCATTTTCATCAACACAGAATACCTAGTCACTTTGCATGCAGATATATGCTACCTGTTCGTGTACTTACTAAAAATGCTGCCTGTAAGCATGAAAAGTATTGTGCTTAATACATGGAAACTGTTAAGGGTGTACTAGACATCCTTTGCAGTTCAGCTCAGGACTCTTCAGCCATCCCTCGTAGCTAGTGGTGTGGGACTTGATGTTTAAAGTACTACTTCCCTTACTGAAAGTGACTGTAAGTTTGTTGTACAGGCAACTAGGCACATGGTGCACTTTATTTTAAATCTGTTTTCTCAAACTTGTACTGAAGCCATACAACTAATTTTTATACTTATCCTATCTCACACTATGCATATCTTCTTTGCTTCAATCCTATGAGGAAATGTGCTTGAACTCTGTTTCCAGCTTCGAAATATAGAACATTCGCCAAACACCGCAAGCATATCCATGGTCACGACCCCAGCTTGGTCAATTATGTGCCTATTGTGCACGGCAACCTTCCATGCTTCACCATATGTCTCTCTACCAACTCATTCTCTTTCTTATTTTATATATTTCTTCCTTTTGTGGACGTATTGCTCTTAACGCTTCTCCGTTAAAGATCCTGTTCCTAGAATCTTCACTCTCGCTCAATTTTGGGAAGAAGGATAATTTGAATGCTCCTTCCAAGGACGCTCCCGAAGCCAAGCTTGACGATCAGGGTCTAATTATCAGAAATCAGGATCGGACCGACGCGCTTGACGTTCCTTGGAATATGATCGTTCACAACACTCCCATATTGGACGCTCCCCATAATGAAGGGGATTATTCACATGATCCAAGGTCAAGTTCGAATTCAGTTGACCGCTCGTCCGCTTGTCCTTCTAGGGACGCTCGACATATTATGAGATCTGACATCAATTGTGGATTACCATCACCAACGTGGAAAACATATAGTCAGTGGGAGTATCCTCATTATGACGTATTACCTAACATACGGAACCTGAACCCTCCAGGATTTGCAGAATACTGATCAACTACAGACCACCATATGTCTACGCAGGAGAGTGGGTAGGGGACAGCAGGGATCTCAGCCCTCCACAGGACAAACCAAGGTTGAGATTCTACAGATGAGTGACTCCCTTCCTGCACAGCATGACTGGGTACTGTGGCCTCTAGTCGTTTCCATTACAGACTCTCCCATTGGAAGAAGACTGAAAATGTTTGTAGACAACTGGAATATTCTCACAGATCTCCTTTGTGATGCAACTACTCCAGGAAGGATATCTTCTACTGCTGATTGCCACTCCTCCTGCTATGTGCCGACCTCTACAGAGAGACTACCCCCCGGCCAAACAACTACCAACTATGATCAACACCATAGGTACGTTGGTTATATAAAGTGCCATAGAATGCCTTGGTCCATTTCCCATGACCCCCAGGTTTTACACCAATCTTCCTTGTTCCTCCCCAAAACTAAGCTGCGGCTGATCTTTAACAAGAGGTATTTGGAAATTCCTCCTCACTTCTGTAAGACATTGATCGTGCTCCTTCAAACGCTCATTCATCCCGGCGATTTCATGGTCAGTCGGGATCTACAAGATGCTCATCTGCACGTCGCCATCAACCGAGAGCATCGCCATTTCCTTTTGGTTTATTTTCCAAGGTCGCCATTACCAATAAAAGGTGTTCCCGTTTGGAGTTTCTTCAGCACCTAGGTTATTTACCCATCTTACTCAGCCCATTATAAAATGCCTACATCTGCGCGGGATTGTGTTTGATGCCTATCTTGACGATTACATTCAGGTGCACGCCGACATCCTTTGTCATCTCAATTTTACACGTCGTCGACAAGTCTGAAATTGTTCCCACTCAACGACTCCAATTCATCGGGGCTGTCTTTGACACTCAACAAGCCATGATGTTTGTTTCTCATGTCCGTTGGATGAAGATTTTACGTATGTTCCATTGGCACTCAAACAACCACTCCAGCTCTGACAATGGCAACAGCTCCTCGGTCTCCTGACGTCAGCGCAAGCCCGCACCATCTGATGTCAACTGCATCAATGACCACCTCAATGCTTTCTCTTGCCATACATCAGGATCAACGATTGTTTGATACCTACCAACCATCTCCCCCCACATTTACATTGGTGGTTAATTGAATCTAACGTTTGCGATAGAGTCTCTTTAAGGCAATTTATCCTGTCCCTTCATCTGTTCAGAAGCATCAACAGTAGGTCGGGGATCGCATTTTCACGATCTTCAGGCAGCAGGATGTTGGTCCACCGAGGACCTCTAACTTTGGTCGTGCCCTTTTGGCCAACATGCAACTGGTTCCCCAGCATGCCAAGGCTAGCCAACAGACAATTCCATTGTCTATTGCTTTGGTAAGATGACCAGGAAGATCCCTCCGTCTGTTCATTTTGAGTGCTTCATCTTTATCTGACTGCATCTCATCAACGCAGAAAATCACGGAAGAGACTCTTCCCACTATCAACCACTTCTGTCTCTGAGATTTCCCACACGACGCTCTCTTTTTGGCTTCGCTCCATAATCCTTTGAGGGTATACTTTTGCTAGGCTGCCTCCACCCACAACGTCCACCTAGAACCAGACTCAAGTGGTTGCATCCACCATGGCCTTACACAGTAATTGCACCCTCTCCGCCATCATGGAATGGTGCTTCTGGAATTCAGACGCAGTTTTTGCCTCTCACTACTTTTGCGACATCTCAGTTATGGAAGCACTAGTTCTTTACAAATTTGGCCCTTTGATCTTGGTGCAACAACTGTGACAGCTCAACAAACACAGATAAAATATCATGCACACATGATTCTCACTGTTTTATAATGCTTATGTACTTAATAAATCTTTTAAATGTAACCTTGCTAATAGTCTTCAACAATGAAGCTGCCAACAGCCGCGGCCATTACTGAACATAATACAGTGTCCCAAAACCTTTATTCCGCTCACATCTTCCTTGAGTATGTGATGTATGGTTTTGGTTCGAAGATCCTTTACGGATATTGTTGATTGTTTCTCTTTACGTCTTGGCTCGTCTCATACACTCAATGTGTTTTATAACCTTGATTAAGCATTAAAAGAGATGCTGAACAAGTCGCACCTATTCTCCAGGGGAGATAGCGTTTGAAGAATCGATTCTGGTAGACAAACAAGATTCGATTAAGGTTGTCAGCTGTTGCATTTAACTGTTTACAGCTATGCGGTCACTTCTTGAATGACGACATACGTGAAACACGTTCATCTTGTATTCCCAATCTCATGCTGTTTCGATCGAGTAAGATATCGGGTTCTCTACCATCATTTAATCACATGTTTTCCCCCCATTCACGAGTTCACCAGTATTCTCACTGCTGTAGTCTATACATGCTAGGGTATCTGCTGCCCACCATCCAACTGTGGGATAAATGCATCGTGTGAGATTTTAAAAATTTGGAAATTTTAGGTATTAATTGTATCTTTATATATACTTATCCTATCTCACATGTGATATGCCAACCCGACCATCCCCGCATCTCAGTTCCTCTAGCCTGATAGCTCTAGGAAAGAGAATGAGTTGGTAGAGAGACACGTGGTCAAGCATGGAAGGTTGCCGTATACGAGAGGCACATAATTGACCAAGTTTGGGTCGTAACCATGGAGATGCTAGGGGTGTTCGGGCAAATGTTTATTATTTAGAAGCTGGAAACAAGGTTCTAGCACGTTCCCACATAGGATCGAAGAAAAAAGAAGATATGCATAGTGTGAGATAGGATAAGTATTTTATAAAATTGCTACAGGCATGAAAGGTGACTGTTGGCATGTGGTATCACAAACTCAAAATGATGTCAGTAGACAAGAATTTAATATCACTGTCATATAAAGTAGGGAGAGGAATGGGATTTCAGGTATAAAGTCACCTTTTCTATCCAGGTAACATTGAAATTATATTAATTAAATAACTGTCAGCGCTGATAACTGCATGGACCAAGCAGTACACTTGTGTTTTGGCAATAGGTAATCTAAATTCTTTTATTTCGGGAATATCATGAATATCCACTTATGGCTTTGTGTTCAAGTATATTGTTTGTGAATTCCTCTGATCCTGACTGTTGTGTATTTCAGTGAATGATGATGGCAGCACCGACACCGAGATCAACGCCAGACTGGATTCCCTCTGTATTAGCATGACAGAACATGCTTTAGGAAGCTTAAGTAAGTTTCAGTAGAACTCATGAATGAAATAACAAAGGCTGTAAAATCTATGAAAAATAACAAAAGCCCAGGTATTGAAGTGTTCCCAGTGGAGTTTTTCAATTTTTTTCTGGAAGAATCTTGGAATATGGGTGTACAGATATATCACAGAAACATTTAGAAATATCACTTCAAGTCTAACAATCAACAGAGGTGTCATTACCTGAATACCCATCTTCCTGAAGCAAGAGCGTCGACTAGCCTTATTGGCAAAGTCATGTTTCCTCCCTTGCCACATCAAGCCCACTTTCCTCTGCTAAATATGATTTGACTATTGCACATATCAATAGTCAAATCAGAGAACGTTTCATAAAATCATCATCATCTACTGGTACATATTAGTATGAAAGTGATTTACTGCTACCTGTCTTAGTATGTTTTTTTCATCTTTTAACCCCCCTAACGATTGCCTATGTTTTTGTGTCATCGATGAATTCGCAAATGTTTTCGTTATAGTGGAATATTGCTTGAATATTGCTAAAAGCGGTGTAAAACCATACTCACTCACTCACTCTTATATAATCATCATTGAAATATAACTTTGATTGGCAAATTTGACCAAACAATTTGACCAAACAATTTGACCCGCAAAGATCCAGGGTACAATAGGTCTTCAGCAACCCATGCTTGCCGCAAAAGGCGAATATGCTCGCGTAAGAGGCGACAAACAGGATCGGGTGGTCAGACTTGCTGACTTGGTTGACGCATATCATCGTATCCCAATTGTGTGGGTCAATACTCATGATGTCAATCACTGGATTGTCTGGCCCAGACTCAATTATTTACAGACCGCCATCACATAGCTGGAATATTGCTGAGTGCGGCATTAAACAACAAACCAACTTGGGTGCAACTCAACTTAAATCACATCATACTGGCATGCCAAAAATATATACATATTAAGTATTAAGAAAAACAAATTGTCACTTGAAAAATGTCTGAAGACTTTAATCAATATATTTCAGATAGAGAAATCAATTGCACAAAAAAGAAAATACAATAAGACAATTTGACAGAAAATGGAACAATTTGGTGAATGTACTGTCTAATTAATATGTCTCTCTATTTTGAACATGAACAATTCCCAACTTATGTGCTGTGAGGATTTAGCTACACACTTAGTTAATGACCCCAATAAGCAAGGCAAATGTTGCCTGCTAGTTTCACCACCTGTTGACATTGTTGTACACCTGTAATCTGACAAGCCAACGATAATTTGCTGTCTACTGTATATATATATATATATATATATATATATATATAAACAAGTGATTTCATCAGGTGTATAAGTATTAAATATACCGGTACCAAAAAAAACAAAGTCCAGATATTCATGCTTGTCAAAACTCCTTTTTCTACACAAGATCTTTCGCTGTTCAACGGCTCTTCAGGTGTAATAAATTGTTTAACTTACATTGTAGTCCTAGGCGACGCACAACAGTAGTATTTGTGGCGTGATAATGCCCATGATGTAACAGTGACAGTAGAGGGAGAAGTAAAACATAGTCCTAGGTGATAGCCAACATTATGCTTTAGACGTCGTAAAGCATATGCCGTCATAGCTAGTGATAATAGTGGATGGCATGAATACATTATGGTGTGAGTGCACAAATACACAAATACACAAATACACATATACACATTGAGCTACATGGGGAAGTTTTGAAAATTATACTTTTATATATAAATCAAAGTTTCAGTTCAATTGTTAACTTTGACTTGCCATCTGAATTTTTTTAACCAAGTTCATGTATGCTGCTCAAAATGTAAGAATGTATGTAAAAGATTTGAGGTTTGTGTGACCTTAATTTATGATGTATTATCAGTATACAAACTTTATAATTATTGATGTCCCAGAATTTCAGATCAGAACTTCAGATTGATTTTAATACTTATTGGTTTTATTGACCCATTATGTTTGAAACTTATGTGTGTTGTAGGTTTCTGAAATTTATGGATAGGTTTTTGGATTGGATTGTATTGAGAAATGAAGGGTTGTTGGCTTTTTCAGGGTCAGTTGCCCACACGGGTGACACTCGTTGCCAGTCTGAGTATGCTGCAGTACAGTCAGTGTTTGCTTTATGCTGTCCCATATACAACAATATGCAATGAATACTCTGGAACTAAAAAAAACCAAACCTACATGCATCCCTGAGAAGTATTAGAAATTCTATTTCATTTTCAAATAATGTTTACTTTTCGCATAAAGTATTGTTGTTTTGTTTTGAGTTTCTTGGGTGTTCCAAAAGCCGAGTGACAACCGTGCATCTGATCACGTTTCTCTTGCATGTCTTGTCTGTAATGGCATCGATGATTGGTTTAGAAAACCGAAATAGAAACGTAAGCCAATTGGAGATGTTTTAACGTTATTTTGTCAATGTCACTGCGGGAAATGCATCTAGAAGAAGACAGCAAAAGTTTGAGCAAGAAGAATTTGATAAAACATCACATATAGGAAGTGACAGTAATTGAGAAGGATGTACTTTACCAATTAACATGTTAATGAACGTGTTTTGGAAAAGTATTTGTAATGATCAGATCAGGGTAATCATTCAGGTTTTCATAAACAAGATTTTATCATTGTCATGTTTCTTAGGCATTTTTTACCACTACAGGCATGCAACTTATTATTTGCATGAATCTTTACAAATCCTACTAGATTAAATGTTGGTGCAATGTCTATCAAAGGTCAAGGTCATCTTTGAGGTTATTGTGAGGTTGTACATTTATGGAAGGTAGTGTACAGGTATGGAAGGTAGTGTACAGGTATGGAAGGTAGTGTACAGGTATGGAAGGTAGTGTACAGGTATGGAAGGTAGTGTACAGGTATGGGAGGTAGTGTACAGGTATGGGAGGTAGTGTACAGGTATGGAAGGTAGTGTACAGGTAAGGAAGGTAGTGTACAGGTATTGGAGGTAGGGTACAGGTATGGAAGGTAATGTTCCTGTGGTGATTGGGAAGGAAGGTAGTGTACAGGTATGGGAGGTAGTGTACAGGTATGGAAGGTAGTGTACAGGTATTGGAGGTAGTGTACAGGTATGGGAGGTAGTGTACAGGTATGGAAGGTAGTTACAGGTATGGAAGGTAGTGTACAGGTATGGAAGGTAGTTACAGGTATGGAAGGTAGTGTACAGGTATGGAAGGTAGTGTACAGGTATTGGAGGTAGTGTACAGGTATGGGAGGTAGTGTACAGGTATGGAAGGAAGTGTACAGGTATGGAAGGTAATGTTCCTGTGGTGATTGGGAAGGAAGGTAGTGTACAGGTATTGGAGGTAGTGTACAGGTATGGAAGGTAGTGTACAGGTATGGAAGGTAGTGTACAGGTATGGAAGGTAGTGTACAGGTATGGGAGGTAGTGTACAGGTATGGAAGGTAGTGTACAGGTATGGAAGGTAGTGTACAGGTATGGAAGGTAGTGTACAGGTATGGAAGGTAGTGTACAGGTATGGAAGGTAGTGTACAGGTATGGGAGGTAGTGTACAGGTATGGAAGGTAGTGTACAGGTATGGAAGGTAGTGTACAGGTATGGGAGGTAGTGTACAGGTATGGAAGGCAGTGTACAGGTATGGAAGGTAATGTTCCTGTGGTGATTGGGAAGGAATGATGTGTACATTTATGGAAGGTAGTGTACAGGTATGGAAGGTAGTGTACAGGTTTGGAAGGTAGTGTACAGGTATGGAAGGTAATGTTCCTGTGGTGATTGGGAAGGAAGGTAGTGTACAGGTATGGGAGGTAGTGTACAGGTATGGGAGGTAGTGTACAGGTATGGAAGGTAGTGTACAGGTATGGAAAGTAATGTTCCTGTGGTGGTTGGGAAGGAAGGTAGTGTACAGGTATGGGAGGTAGTGTACAGGTATGGAAGGTAGTGTACAGGTATGGGAGGTAGTGTACAGGTATGGAAGGTAGTGTACAGGTATGGAAGGTAGTGTACAGGTATGGAAGGTATTGTACAGGAAGGTAGTGTACAGGTATGGAAGGTAGTGTACAGGTATGGGAGGCAGTGTACAGGTATGGAAGGTAATGTTCCTGTGGTGATTGGGAAGGAATGATGTGTACATTTATGGAAGGTAGTGTACAGGTATGGAAGGTAGTGTACAGGTTTGGAAGGTAGTGTACAGGTTTGGAAGGTAGTGTACAGGTATGGAAGGTAATGTTCCTGTGGTGATTGGGAAGGAAGGTAGTGTACAGGTATGGGAGGTAGTGTACAGGTATGGAAGGTAGTGTACAGGTATGGAAGGTAATGTTCCTGTGGTGATTGGGAAGGAAGGTAGTGAACAGGTATGGGAGGTAGTGTACAGGTATGGTAGGGAATGTTCCTGTGGTGATTGGGAAGGGAGGTAGTGTACAGGAATGGAAGGTAGTGTACAGGTATGGTAGGTAATGTTCCTGTGGTGATTGGGAAGGGAGGTAGTGTACAGGTATGGAAGGTAGTGTACAGGTATGGAAGGTAGTGTACAGGTATGGAAGGTAATGTTCCTGTGGTGATTTGGAAGGAAGGTAGTGTACAGGTATGGGAGGTAGTGTACAGGTATGGAAGGTAGTGTACAGGTATGGGAGGTAGTGTACAGGTATGGAAGGTAGTAGTGTACAGGTATGGGAGGTAGTGTACAGGTATGGGAGGTAGTGTACAGGTATGGGAGGTAGTGTACAGGTATGGGAGGTAGTGTACAGGTATGGGAGGTAGTGTACAGGTATGGAAGGTAGTGTACAGGTATGGAAAGTAGTGTACAGTTATGGGAGGTAGTGTACAGGTATGGGAGGTAGTGTACAGGTATGGAAGGTAGTGTACAGGTATGGAAGGTAGTGTTCCTGTGGTAATCAATGATGAGGGAGGAAGAGTACCCATACCAAATTATCAGTAACTGACTGTTGTGTTTGTATTACAGGTTAATAGTCTGCCTGCCAGCGGTGTCCTGGTAAGTCTGTGGAAATGTTGTCAGTGAAAGTCTACTAGCATTTAGCATAAGTGAAACGAGTGCGAATCCAATGTAACACCTTATGTCAACTGTTATTTAGCCTAATTGCTTTGTTATCCCCCCGGCATATATTGCGGGGGGATATAGTGACAGCCAGTCTGTCTGTCCATCCGTAATCATTTCCTTTTCCGGGGCAGAATTCGAAAACCATTCAGTGTATTTGAATGAAACTTGGCAAAGCTATCAGGCACATACTGAAGTGGTGCCTTTTGATATTTTGGGATTTTTCTAATTTTTATTTTTTTAAATTTTTATGGAATGAAGTTGGACATAGACTAAATTGGGGATGGGGTTAGTTTCCGGGGCAGAATTCGAAAACCATTCATTGATTTGATCGAAACTTGGCAAATCTATCAGGCACATACTGAAGTGGTGCCTTTTGATATTTTGGGACTTTTCTAATTTTTATTTTTATCCCCCCGGCATATAATGCGGAGGGGATATAGCGATCAGCCAGTCTGTCTGTCTGTCCGTATACACTTCCTTTTCCGGGGCAGAACTAAAAAAACAATTCAGTGTATTTGATCGAAACTTGGCAAATCTATCAGTCTCATACTGAAGTTGTGCCTTTTGCTATTTAGGAATTTTATAAATTTTTACTTTTTACCTTTCCATGGCAACAAGTTGGACTTAGGTTCTATAGGGTAGAGTTCGTTTCCGGAGCATAACTCAAAACCCATTCAAAACTTTCTAACAAAACTTTGCATGTCTATCAGACTCATGCTTAACTGGTGCCTTTTGCTATTTAGGAATTGTATAAATTTTTATTTTTTACGTTTCCATGGCAACAAGTTGCATTTAAGTTTTAATATAGGGTTGGTTCACTTATGGAGTTATAAACTGTTAAACATTTCCTTGCCAAACATTGCATGTCTATATATAAAGCACATACTGAACTGGTGCCATTTGATATTAAGGAAATTAATAAGTTTTAGAAATGTTTATTTTAGAATTTCCTTTGCAGCTATTTTGAAATGGGCTAAGAGAAATGTTGGGTCACTTACCTGGTTTGGGACCATAACGTGTTAAAATGGACGGGGGATATAGATGACTTCGTGACTATACGCTTGTTTAGTTATTGTTTCTTGTAATTTGTCATTTGTTTGCATAAAAAAACACAGAATACAGAATAGCACATTTACTTGTGGTTACTTTACAGACAGCTGCCGGGGGGATATGTCATCTTTCTGATGACTCTTGTTTAAATATTTATACCATTAAAATATTTTTTGGTACAGTGTTATGTAACCTTAGGTTCCGGGTACTTTACCCTTCTACCTATGGTCACTTGTACCTATCAACTACTCCTTGGTTCTAGGGATGATGTAGCTCTCTTGAAAATCACAAGTCAGATGGTTTGCTCCAGCCTCTTTTTATTTATGATAGAATTAATCATAAATATGCACACATGGTCCTCAGATTAGTTCTTGTGGTTGCCTGATATAAATACAACACATACCTAGATGATGGTTGAAGAGCCTGATGGTTTTTCTGATGAACGTTAACTCTACTTCATTTCTGACTCGGGATCCCAAAACCACAGTGAACCGTTCTGTTCAGCTGTATGCTCCCGACTTCCCGCACCACTCTCGGACAACTAACAAAATACTATCGATGATAATTTTAACTCCTCCCACCGAAATCATATTTGACATCCTGAGAAATGAGTCTTAACGCTCACTTCTCTATGAACCCCCAATTCCCATTTCAATCAGTCTTTCCATCAAGTTCTTCTAACCAAACACTCAACTAATTTCCTAAATTAATGGTCAAATCATTGGTCAACCGAACATACCCTCAACTCTAAACAACCCTAGATGTAAACCCAATACTCTGCCAGATTGGAAGGCACCGAAAAGATTGTGATTCAAATGAAGCTTGTTATTTAGACATTCAAGTCAGTAGTAGCTTACAGAAATATTTGATCACATCCGGACTTACCAACTTCTGTCCCATCAGATTCATTTCCTTATACTACAAGACCGTATACTACCAATTTCCTCAGATTGATGAAAAGCCATCTCTATCACTCAAGAGAAGCAAAATCAATAATCATATGTCCTGGGGGTTATGCCCTCACCCCGTACGGTCACTTCTCTCATATGCATCCAAATTCTATCCAAAAGCTCAATTTAGTAAACTACATTTTAAGTAAATATTAAAAACCCTTTTTCCAAAATACCCTGGTTACAGTACAATAGTTTACTGTTTACATTTTTGATAATGTTAACATGGTAACAAGTTTGTCTTGTTTGTCCCGACCACATCTCTTAAAAATATAGGTGCTCTTTTTTCAAACTGCACACCCAAAGACCAGGTTGTCAAATGGTGCCTTTTGCTATTTAGGGAGTTTTGGAATGTATATTTTTTCCGTTTTCAGGGCAACAAGTTTGACTTTGACTCTGTTTATGTTGGTATGTACCTGACATAGAAATACAAAGTTCCAAATACCAATTCCATGGCATTGTTTAATAATAACTCTTGTGTACGAACAGACGAGAGAGAGAGAGAGAAGAAGAGACTAACTCTCAGGCACAATATAGCAGAGAAAAATAAAGTGGAGTAAAACTGAACACAGTTTAATTAACTAGCACCTTCGACTCACACCACGTACAAGCATGCACCAGTATCTGCCCAATTTGTAAAATAGATCTGAGTATGCACCAGTATCTGCCCAATTTGTAAAATAGATCTGAGTATGCACCAGTATCTGGCCAATTTGTAAAATAGATCTGAGTATGCACCAGTGTCTGCCCAATTTGTAAAATAGATCTGAGTATGCACCAGTATCTGGCCAATTTGTAAAATAGTTCTGAGTATGCACCAGTATCTGGCCAATTTGTAAAATAGATCTGAGTATGCACCAGTATCTGCCCAATTTGTAAAATAGATCTGAGTATGCACCAGTATCTGGCCAATTTGTAAAATAGATCTGAGTATGCACCAGTATCTGGCCAATTTGTAAAATAGATCTGAGTATGCACCAGTATCTGGCCAATTTGTGAAATAGATCTGAGTATGCACCAGTATCTTGCCAATTTGTAAAATAGACCTGAGTATGCACCAATATCTTGCCAATTTGTAAAATAGATCTGAGTATGCACCAGTATCTGGCCAATTTGTAAAATAGATCTGAGTATGCACCAGTATCTGCCCAATTTGTAAGATAGATCTGAGTATGCACCAGTATCTGCCCAATTTGTAAAATCTGCCATAGATCTGAGACTCCATAAAGCTGAAGTTACAGCTTTGTTTCTCATCAAGTAAGCTGGATAGTGTTTATGTTATGGTTTATATCTCATGACAAGGATGTGATTGTTTTGCATCTCTCATTGTGTGTAATGCAAACACATTGTCACATACACTTGGCTGAAATGCTCGTCTACTTTATGGAAATGGATATAATCATTACGAGGTTGGTTTTGTAAATGGCATCAAAATGTAAAGTAAATATTTTGCTAAACACTTGGAGAAAAACAAATAGTGAATTTATGTGAAGGGGATGTCTTCGTCTTAGTTGATTGGATATCCATGTGAGCTGCAGTGTTTAAACAAAGTAGACACAATTTATGGATAACAACTTCTTTATTTACTGTAAAGGCGACATTTTGGTATCGATCATTCAAGCCTATTGTGTCTACTTTGTCATCCGTCAACTTCTAAGTAATGCCTATCAAACAATTCAACTTCAGTGTTGTGGAACGTTTCTTTGATTATTGTTTTAGAATTATTGTCTAATCAAGTTGGACTTAAAATCCATCCAATATCGTAGCAATATCTTTGTACTTGGATTTGGTCTACATCAACTCAGTTTCATTACAGCAATAATTTGTATAACCTCTCTCACTCGCAATCACATTTATCCAAAACATAAGTTTGTTGTGATAAGTTTTGATGTAAACAAAGTTGTATATTTATGTTGTTCCACTTCAGCTGAACACAGTTATACCTGATGACAGGACCGTGACTTGTGGAACATCGTCTGCTGCTGGGGATACTAAGCTGAGGTCTACTGCTGACATGTAATGTCACTCAGTCCTGGAATGTCCTGCGTTATATCCTAAACACTTCCTACATAGATGCCAACTCAAGGGCATGGAGACTTTAGAAGAGAAATCACCACACACCCCCTCAGATATATGTAGTGAGCATGGTGTAGTCTGGAAGACTGTGACATGTAGTCACCATCATCAAGACAGATCTGAAGATTTCACTGTGCTCATGGGCAGATATGTGATTGTTAGCCCGGATAAACTGCTGCCTAAATGTGTTTGTGTATAGTGTGCTGTATGGGATATAAGTGCTGGGTAGCTTTCACTGCCAACTCCTGCCAGCATCTGGCTCCTCCACACAGCTGGCCCACACTGTAGTGCTACTCATTTCGTCTTTCGTAAGCCTTGGTGTTGAAGGGCTGTCATGTGACCTGCCATATTGTGCCTTCTGGAGCTGTGACAGATTGTATGTTGTTTTTGTGGTCCAGAAACTATTTTCATGTTTGTAGCACATCACCTGTGTGGAGCCATAGTATATGTGTCAACGGATATTTTCCTATTTTGTTATTGTCAATGGCTAGAGTGGTGCTGAAATATTGCTGAGGATCCCATCCCTTTCTTCCTTATAGGAAACATTTATCATGGGAATCTAATTGACAAATTCAAATGAATGCCTTTGTGAATGGAAATATGTGTGATATATGTTGTAGATACCTATTTATGTTAAAGCTAATGGTTCCATACGGTCCTTCCAAACCAGTGTGAAGATGTGCAGCATGTGCGGAGATGAATACAGCCAAAACAACTTCATCACCAGCTAAGTTTCCCACATTGAAGTTTTCTCTGTACTTGTCACACAAATGATAATCAAATTGGTACAATTTGGTTGTGTGCGTGATGTAACAACATGATCCATGGGCTGACAGTAGGATGGCTTGGCTCAGGTGGTATCTCGGGTACATCTTGTGTCTGTTCGCTGTCCATCAGTGGCTCAATATGTTGGTATTACAGTGCATAAGGCAAGCTAAACAGGGCCAAAGTTCTAGCAGAACTTTCAAGATATACCATGTGCATTCCATAATATATCCATACAAAGATCTGATTTGACAGACGAGCATTATAAGGTTGTCAACAAGGGTGAAAAAGTATGCGTCTCATGAGACATTCATTACATAATAAACACATAATATTGCTTAGAAAAACTTAAAAACTATGAAAGCCTTATATTAACAATAGTGTTTAGTTTGCAATGATGCACATTAATTTATTCCAACAGTGAGTTACGTCATTTCATTAAACTTGACTAATAAAGTACTGGGATTATTATTCAAACATTCAGTCCATGTGCAGTGTATGTGTGTAGTAGGTTTGTGTGTGTACATGTGAAGTGACTTTACTGGCGTGCTGGTGTGTATATGGACTGCAGGCCCAGTGTCATAGCACCAGGCACCACTCACAACTTCCCTGAGAGAAAAAGTTATTTATCCTTTTGAAAGTCTGCTAAGAATCATTTAAACAACATTTGTATTTTTCTGGTGATAAGCTATCCAACTGTGTTGAAGATGAGGAGTTGAATGAAATGTTGTTAGTGCACAGAGCACTCTATCGACAGTCATACTGTTGTTGACTTTATGTATGTAATCATTTAGACCTCTGCTGCCATCATGACTGTGTGTTCTCTCAGCCTTGGTTGTATATAGCCCAGCTCTTCACCCTTGCTACAACTGCCGCACATCATTACAGTTTCTCAATTATTGTACCTAGGCCAGACCTTTCTAATGTTGGGTGAACACAATTTTGGAGCCATTATGCAGGAGCTCCCAAACATTGGTGATTGTTGATAGGTCAAATGCACATAAAACTAAGTGTCCATAACTTAATAGGACATTTGTTTGATTTCTTCAAAAGAGGGAGGAATTGATTCGTTGAAAGCCTTAAAAATTGATTTAATTCTTTTGAGGTAGATTTACTGGCCATTAGCCAGAGGTTTTGTGATAAATTCTCACCTTTTCTATTGGGGACTGTTCAGGTAAAAGTGGTATGTACAGCATGAAACAAGTTGTTGGTTGATATGTGTGCACTGTATACAACAACACTTAGCTACTGGATGTTTGGGACATATCTATTCTCTGATGGTGTACACTGTATTTAAAATTAATTTTAAGCAACTGTAATATGTAGCAGATAAAACAGTTATGACAGCACATTTTTCTGCCTTGAAGCTTTTGAATGAAATGTTCATAGAGGCTTACAGCTAGGTGTAATGCTACAACTTATGTCTTTATAGAAAGACGGCTCCATAACATTATGTCGAATGGCATCATCTTTGTGAGAGTGTGCATTAGGGGCTGGACAGTGGTGATGTTATAGATATGATCCCACGCCAACCATCATGTATAGTTTGTGTACATAACACTTGTCAAGTAGCAAATGTTAATTGTTTCAAGGAAAGTGTGTGTGGTTTCTATGTCCTAACCAAGATGACAGTATGATTTTGTTGATTCCTGCCTGTTAATGGAGTTTGTCTTGTGTTTATTGTGCTGGTTCACAAAATGTAGGTACTAATATGGACATAATTCCAGGTAGTAATGTGCTGCTGTGTCCCGGTAGTGATGTGCTGCTGTGTCCCGGTAGTGATGTGCTGCTGTGTCCCGGTAGTAATGTGCTGCTGTGGACATAATCCTTGTAGTGATGTGCTGCTGTGGACATAATCCCAGAAGTGATGTGCTACTGTGTCCAGGTAGTAATGTGCTGCTGTGTCCCGGTAGTGATGTGCTGCTGTGTCCTGGTAGTGATGTGCTGCTGTGTCCCGGTAGTGATGTGCTGCTGTGGACATAATCCTTGTAGTGATGTGCTGCTGTGGACATAATTCCAGTAGTGATGTGCTGCTGTGTCCCGGTAGTGATGTGCTGCTGTGTCCCGGTAGTGATGTGCTGCTGTGTCCCGGTAGTGATGTGCTGCTGTGTCCCAGTAGTGATGTGCAGCTGTGTCCCGGTTGTGATGTGCTGCTGTGTCCAGGTAGCAATGTGCTGCTGTGTCCCGGTAGTGATGTGCTGCTGTGTCCCGGTAGTGATGTGCTGCTGTGGACATAATCCTGGTAGTGATGTGCTGCTGTGTCTCGGTAGTGATGTGCTGCTGTGTCCCGGTTGTGATGTGCTGCTGTGTCCCGGTAGTGATGTGCTGCTGTGTCCCGGTTGTGATGTGCTGCTGTGTCCCGGTAGTGATGTGCTGCTGTGTCCCGGTAATGATGTGCTGCTGTGGACATAATCCCGGTAGTGATGTGCTGCTGTGTCCCGGTAGTGATGTGCTGCTGTGTCCAGGTAGTGATGTGCTGCTGTGTCCCGGTAGTGATGTGCTGCTGTTGACATAATCCCGGTAGTGATGTGCTGCTGTGGACATAATCCTTGTAGTGATGTGCTACTATGTCCCAGTAGTGATGTGCAACTGTGTCCCAATAGTGATGTGCTACTATGTCCCAGTATTGATGTGCTGCTGTGGACATAATCCCTGTAGTGATGTGCTGCTATGTCTCAGTAGTGATGTGCTGCTGTGGACATAATCCCAGTAGTGATGTGCTGCTGTGGACATAATCCTTGTAGTGATGTGCTGCTGTGGACATAATCCCAGAAGGGATGTGCTGCTGTGGACATAATCCCAGTAGTGATGTGCTGCAGTGGACATAATCCCAGTAGTGATGTGCTACTGTGTCCCAGTAGTAATGTGCAGCTGTGGACATAATCCCAGTAGTGATGTGCTGCTGTGTCCCAGTAGTGATGTGCTGCTGTGTCCCAGTAGTGATGTGCTGCTGTGGACATAATCCCAGTATTGATGTGCTGCTGTGGACATGATCCCAGTAGTGATATGCGACTGTGTCAATGTAGTGATGTAGTAATGTGCTGCTGTGGACATAATCCCAGTAGTGATGTGCTACTGTGTACCAGTAGTGATGTGCAGCTGTGGACATAATCCCAGGAGTGATGTGCTGCTGTGTCCCAGTAGTGATGTGCTGCTGTTGACATAATCCCAGTATTGATGTGCTGCTGTGGACATAATCCCAGTAGTGATGTGCTGCTGTGGACATAATCCCAGTAGTGATGTGCTGCTGTGGACATAATCCCTGTAGTGATGTGGTCATAATCCCAGTAGTGATGTGCTGATGTGGACATAATCCCAGTATTGATGTGCTGCTGTGGACATAATCCCAGTAGTGATGTGCTGCTGTGGACATAATCCCTGTAGTGATGTGGTCATAATCCCAGTAGTGATGTGCAGCTGTGGACATAATCCCAGTACTGATGAGCGACTGGACATAATCACAGTTGTGATGTGCTGCTGTTGTTATAATCCCAGTAGTGATGTGCTGCTGTGGACATAATCCCAGTAGTGATGTGCTGCTGTGTCCCAGTAGTGATGTGCTGCTGTGTCCCAGTAGTGATGTGCTGCTGTGGACATAATCCCAGTATTGATGTGCTGCTGTGGACATGATCCCAGTAGTGATGTGCTGCTGTGGACATGATCCCAGTAGTGATGTGCTGCTGTGGACATGATCCCAGTAGTGATGTGCTACTGTGTCCCAGTAGTGATGTGCTGCTGTGTCCCAGTAGTGATGTGCTGCTGTGGACATAATCCCAGTAGTGATGTGCTGCTGTGGACATGATCCCAGTAGTGATATGCGACTGTGTCCTAGTAGTGATATGCTGCTGTGGCCATAATCCCAGTACTGATGAGCGACTGTGGACATAATCTCAGTATTGATGTGCTGCTGTGGACATAATACCAGTAGTGATGTGCGACTGTGTCCCAGTACTGATGAGCGACTGTGGACATAATACCAGTAGTGATGTGCTAAAATGTCCCAGTAGTGATGTGCAATGGGTGCCAGTACTGATGAGCGACTGGAGACATAATACCAGTAGTGATGTGCTAATATGTCCCAGTAGTGATGTGCGACTGTGTCCCAGTACTGATGAGGAACTGTGGACATAATACCAGTAGTGATGTGCTACTGCTGAGCATTTCCTAATCATGTAGTCTACATTGCCTTTCCTACATCTTAAGATAAGATTTTTGTGTATGTTTTTTTTTAAAACCAGGTCTTAATATGAGTGAATGAAAATATGCAAGAATTTGTGCACATGCTTTTCTGTTGTGCACAATAATGGAGTGTTTAATCTGCAAGTGAGCACATTTCAGAATATCTTGTCCTACAAGAGTCACTAGCATCTTTGCATGCATTCTGTCAATTCGTCCATTTCAGACTTCTCAGACAGAGGCTTGTCAGACTCCATCGGGAACTGGGACAGTCCTCTTAGAAACTGTTGCATTACCTATTAAACTAGTTCATCCTATTTTTGTAAGAAATTGGGCACACACAATGAGAATGCTTAGCATAATTGCAGTTTATTCTGTGTCACTGATTATTATGTGTTACTATTGAACAGTATATACTATCATGCTTATGAGAGACAACAGTTAATGTTTAAACTGCAAAACGCTAGCCAAAGCAAGCTCCATGTCCTATGTTTTTGTTCAACTACCAGTACCACTCCTGTCATATATTCCTGTTGTACTACACACCACTCTTTTCTTTCACCGAGTGCTTTGTATTCATCAAAAAGGTGACATCACAAGAACAAAAGCATGAAATGTTTATGGCTGTTAATCAGTTAGAATGAATAATGAAATCACATACTGATGTTAAGATGCAAATACAGCTATTTTGAATTTTGAGAGAGCGGCATGTGGACTCAAAATTTTGATGAACTGATGAAGCCCATCTTTACCTTTGAAAGCAAACTGGTTTGTGCTAATGCAAACATCATGTATGTTACAGGTTGAAAAACACTTTGTTGAAGGAAAGGAAGACAATTTATGTCATAGCAGGTTCTCATGTCTAAGCATTCAAGAGATGATGCCAAGGATGTCATTTAAAGTTGGTCTTCATCTCAATATGAATGATTATAAAAAATTCTAAATCAATTCTAAAATGATATAAGTTAAGAACTCACTTGTACTTTGAAGCACTAAAGAAGAATTGTGTCCATTTAACAGTGGAAGCTCACTTGAAGCTCCACAACCACCAACAATCATCTTTTGAATTGTTACATAATTGTAGCTTTAAATTGGGCAAACTCGTACAGGAAGCGAAGATTATGGAACCTACTGTAACGAATCATGAAAATGTAAATTTGTTGGTTAAAGTTCATTCCTATGTTATGTGATGCTTGGTCATTTGCTTGTTCCTGTTTTCAGTTATGAATGAGCTGATCACATGGTTTTCAAAAATAACTATTACACATAAATGGGTCTTTATGTTTTGAAGATAGCTGTTAATGTATATTTGTTAAAAGGGAACACTAAATATGTCAGTCAATTCCCTGCCATGACGTGTGTGCATTAACATTAACACTGCAAAGCCATACCACATCACTATGGTCAGTATCTACACTGGTGCAGTCTCCATGATAGTCATTATCAGACCCATTGTTATATTGAGATACATGTACCTTTAATTCTTAAAGGATTTGAAATGTGAGACCTGCTTCTGGTATTTTTGTTGATGTCTTCAAAGGAAGGAATTGACTTGATCCACAAAATGCTGTTATTACAGTTTGAAATTGTTAATTTAATTTGTTAGAGTTTTAAAAAAAGTTGACTTTTAAAATGTTGATCTTCCATATATAATTTTGATGTTGAACAAATGAGCTTACTACCCTTCCTCCTGGGCTCTGTAACAAGCATCTTGCTTTGTACCATCAAATAAAAGGTAGAAACATTTACATTATAAATATATATACATATATACATACATATACATACATATATATATATTTTTGTAAGCCATTCTTTGATGTAATGTAACACAATTGAGAACAACAAAGTTAATGCCAATTGTGTGGGAGATGGTTATTTGTTGTGGAGCTGGCACTGGTTGTTCCATCAGTGAGGAAGGAAGTCAGGGTTCACTAGGCACCATTTGGTTCTCATTGTAAAAATGTTTGTATTGTGTTCACCCTTTTCAGTGGACAAGTTCTTGGTTGTCACTTAACATGCAATGATGTTTGAGGGATATTTGGAGAAATAAATATTTTAATCTCTCTTTTCTGAGTTTGTTTTCAAACACAGTTGTCCTTTGTTGCCTGTGCTTGTGACCCTGGTCGCTTGTCTGACCTAGCCTTGATTACACACTGGCCGCTGTTTTATAGCTGGGTTATACCGGTACAACAAACTGCCGAGAGCCAGCTGGTGTTCCTGTAGTCTGTCATCTAGTAGTAATGGTAGTGATGGTATTTTCACCTGAAGTTAAGGTTCATTTTATTATCATGATGTAATGGCACTCATATCGCTCTCTGATCGTCATGAAGGGCACATAAACTGAAAAAAACTTATTGCAAGTTTGTTACAAATATCAATTTTCCCACATACATTTAGTCAATGGCCAAGAGAAAATATTCATAAAGTTCGTAGAAAGTACTGAAATGTCCAAGTGAAAGTGATAAAATCACACGTTCTGCAGTGCATGACTTTCATAAATATTGAAAACATACACAAAAAAAACTCACTGATAACACAAGCAAAACTCATCCTGACAGCATGCAGTCTGAAGACAGAGCCTGACCCTCTGGATGCCAAGGGGACATTTATATGTCCTTTCTCGTCAACCCTCACTTTGAAGTCTTAAGAATATTTAAAATACATCATGCACACAAATACACTTCAAATAATAAATCACCATTCATGGTGTTATTTTGTATATGTTTTGAAACCTAAATATTGTATATCTACTCGAGAATTTTATTACAAAAAAAGAATATTAGTGATCACAGGTTTCTGTATTGTACCAAATCACCAATGATAATTCTAAAACGTCACTAATAACCCTGGTGTTGTTCAGAATGTTATAGAAAATACGCAAACACGAAGAATGAAGTGAACTTTCCACCATATTGGACAGTGTTTATTAACACGTGTTTCACAGATGACAGTTGATGTACATTTCAAAATCAGCTGCAGTACATACCTCCCTGAATTCCTCATACATTTTAGAATCAAATGACAAATGTTCTTTTTCACAAATAGAAATTGGTTAGATGAAAGTATATTAGGCTTCAAAATAAATGCTGTGCTGTAAACAAAGCAAAATTCAGAGTACATTTATCGGTGTATGATAAAAAGTGCCTTTATTTGCTATTGTTTCACTTATAACATCTCGGACAACACTTAGTACTGTCTGTTTTTCAATCCAGTTTAATATTTGCAGATTCTTTTACATGCTTTGCGTAGGAGGTGAATAACGGGATCGGGTGCTCAGACTCGCTGACTTGGTTGATGCATGTCATCTTATCCCAATTGCGTGGATCGATGCTCATGATGTCAATCACTGGATTGTCTGGTCCAGACTCGATTATTTACAGACCGCCGTCATATGGCTGGAATATAGCTGAGTGTGGTGTTAAACAACAAACAAACATAATACGTGCTAGTCCTTAACCTCTATTATATCATAGCCATAAATCCTGTATTTTGGCTGCAGACACACTATTGCTAAGTCATTAGAAGTCTTCTTCACTGTCAACTACACACAACTAGTTGTTCCCCCAATAGCACAAGAAGCTCTTCAGTTCTTCAGAGCGAAAAGGCGGGGGAAAATGTTTCGCATTAAACGACCGTTGGTACGAGTTCCGGGTTCTACCGTTCGGCATATCAGTAGCCCCTTGGTTATTTACCAAAATGACGACGCCAGTCATCAACTTCGCCCATGTACAGATGGTATGACTTCATGGATACCTAGACCATTTCCTGGCCGCCAATCAGGAACACCCACCGGCTGCTTCAGGATGTGACATTCCTCACCCAACTCATGTCTTATCTCGGGTTCCTCCATCCCACCAAGTCTGAGATTTATCTTGTACAAGACATAGTCTACATTGAGGCCAGATTTCTTCTACATACGGGATATCTTTGCTGTACCAGATCGATCAGATGGTGGATGTATCTCATGGGGATGCTGTCCTCTCTACAAGATATGACTCACAGAGGATGATTACAATTATGCCCACTTCAGAATTGGATCAACTCCCTACGATCTCAGACCCTGGACACACGGGTACTCATACCTCTCCACCTGCGCCAAGATCTTATCTGGTGGACTCAACAAGATCAGGTAAAAACGAGGATTCCTCTCACCCTACCAGCTCCCGAACACCACCTGTTCACAGACGTGTTGGACGACCTCCAAGTTCAGGGTTTATGGACCGAGATGGAAACAGCTCTACAAATAAATTGCAGAGAGATGAAAGCAATCTATAATGCTCTCCAGACTTGGAAAGATCGTCTCATCAAATCATCCGTCCTGATTGCCACAGAAAACACGACAGTAGTGGCCTACATTCAGAAGCAAGGCGGAACCAAGTCCAGTTCTCTGATGACGGAAACTAGTCAGCTATTTGCCTTGGCCGACTCATTTAACTGTTGGATTGAAGCAAGACATATTCCAGGCAAACTGAACATACAAGCGGACAGCCTATCCTGGAGAGGGAGGATCTTACCCATAGAGTTGACTCTTCCTCCAGACGTTTTTACCTGGATAACCTCCGTTTGGGACACCCTCATCTTGACGTATCTGCAACCTGTCCCAACTTCCGGTTTACGTCAGCCCGGTCCCAGATCCAGGAGCTCTCCAGATAGATGCACTATCCATGGATTGGACAGGAATGTTTGCCCACGCGTTCCCTCCATGGTGTCTCCTAGACAAGGTCATACAGAAGTTGGAAGTGACAGATTGTACAGTCATCCTCATCACTCCAACTTGGCCAAGAGGGACATGGTATCCAAGACTACTATCGCTCCTGATGGACGAGCCACTCACTCTTCCACTTCAGCGCAGGTCGAGCCTATTTTACTCCAATCTTCCCAGCCTTCATCTCACTGCCTGGAAAGCATGTCGCAGAGAATGCAGGCCTTTTCTCAAGCTGCCTCTACTGCTGTCGCAAGATCTTGGAGATCCTCATCCACCCAACTTTATGACAACAGATGGAACAGATTCGTCCATTGGAGACAGATGTGGTCTAGCTAATGTCACAGTGGACCTCTACCGCACCTAGAGTTTCTGAAGTCGCTCTCGACTATTCCAGTCTGGACTCCATCACCTTGCGGTCTCTCCCGGTCTTTATAGCCAAGAATCAGTCCACGGCTACTGGTCCTTTGGGTCATAGACATTTACTATTCCCGCCTTGGCACCTACAGTGGATCGCCTTCTTTGTCCTATACGAGCTCTCAAGTTCTATCCGACATTCACTGATCCATATCGCCGAGTGTAGAAGACGTCTATTAATCACTCGCAAGACCCACTCAGATAAAGGTATCACATAAGCTACGGTCGCTGGATGACTTAAGGCGACCATAGCAACGAGTTATCGTCAAGCACAAGATACTCCTCCCACTATGGGTTCTATCTCTGCCCACGAAATCCGAGCTTTGGCAACAAGTCTGGCATCCTGGTCATCCATGTCCATCGAACAAGTCGTAGCAGGATGCCAATGGGGGTCACACAATACTTTTACTAGCTTTTACTTGTGAGATATCCACCCAGACCTATTGTTGCGGCCCTGGCGATTATACGTCCCTTGAGAGAGTGGGCGAGGCTCTGACATCAGCAGCTACAGAAGGTGAGTACACCTTTTATCTTTTACTAGTATGGTACGTAAGGAATTCTAGGGCTACCTGTATTAGAACAGCTGACGTCACAACAGCTGAAGTGACGTCATAACCGGAAGTGACGTCACAATTAGAAGGAATATAGACTGGAAGTGATGTCATAATCAGAAGTGATGTCGGAGGTTCTAGAAATGACATCAAAACCAGTTGTAAAAGAGGAATTGACGTCATTTAGAACCGGAAGTTGATAAACCGGAAGTGACGGCACTCTCAGAATCTGAGACAAATGATGAGTTAGAATAGAACTAAAGACATCATTTCATGATTATCAGCAAATAAAAAGGTACTTCAAGTGAAGGTATCGCATATTGACTGATGTAATCATAATACCTGATTTCAAGTCCTCTAAGAGATCTAGAGTAATAACCTCTTGAAAGGGTTTGAATCTGGTAATATACAAGAACTCATACGACAGTATTGGATTGCTGTCAACTACACAGGGAGTTGCTAGAGGCAGATCCCGCCTTATCCATCTGGTATATTCTGGCTATGATGTAAAAGAGGGAAAGGATTCGAAGGAATTATCAAACAATAGTCATCATTGTTAACAATTCTAAGAATACTACCTCTATTAAATGGAAGTACTCCAACCCACCTCCCCAATTCATCTGTCTCCAGTGGTGAGATGTGTTGGAAAGAAGAGACGTTTTGCCTGCCTTTTTGCAATGAAGAGCTAAAGAGCTACTTGTGCTATTGGGGGAACAACTAGTTGTGAGTAGTTGACAGTGAAAAGGACTTCTGTTGAAAATCTGAAGATTAAGTAATAGTGTGTCTGCAGCCAAAATACAGGATTTATGACTATGATGTAATATTGTTAATAATTCTTAGAATTATTAACAATGATAACTATTGTTTGATTTTACACCATCAGGAAATGTAATATTCTACATCCCTGAGTAATTTTATAGTCTGGGGTAGAAGCAGTGCTGTGCGAGCGCAATTTTACCACAACATTTACTTTTCACATCTTATGAAAATGTGAGTCAGAAAAATAACTCCACATCCAGGGATTTAGACAGGCCTACATGTTTTATATGAAATATGAAGTCTGACACAATTGGTGTTCTCAACCACATAATAATGACTGAAACACAATTCATGCCTGATGTACATGATATTAGATATGATGACATTGGCAGTCCAGGTCACATAGTGTGAAAGGAGTCAGAAATATTTGTGTACATGATAAATTTATGATTGGTATTGATCAAACTAAATATACAGGATCTCCAGCATGTCTGGGGTTGAGGATGACCTCCATGCAAGAGGTTGCATGAAACCTAACTCTTGGTTTAGACATGAAAAATCAAAGCATTTTTCAATGCATGATGATGAACTATAGTTTAAATAACTATATGAACATGGCATGTCTGTGAAAAATGCCAAGATCACTTTGAAGGTAATTAGCACATTAAATGACTTGTAAATTTTACAAATTGAATTGTTCCATTAAAAAAGTATTGCATTCGCAATATATCTAATATTTATGTTTGGAAATTTATAGCCAAGTTCTTTAGGGTAGTTTTTGTTTTGAGATTTTCATTGGACCCGTCAAGGTCACCAAAGTTTTATCATCTAAACATAATACATAAGCACTCTCTTCTATACAAGGTCTTGTTAATTCTGTAGTGAGTGTGTGAATATGGTTTTATGCCATGTGTAGCAATATTACAGCAATATCACAGCGGGAGACACCAGAAATGGGCTTCACACCTAGTACCCATTTGGGGAATTGAATCCAGGCCTTCGGTGAATGCTTTAACCACTAGGCTACCCTTAGATGCAGCATGCTACAGTGGCAATCTCATACCACATACAGTTAAAATCAATAATTTTTCTATCCAACAGTCGAGATCAACAGTAATTGTGGGGATACACAATTTGATCAGAGAAATTGTAAAACCTTCATTTGTGGCCATTAGACAGTTCTATTCAAATCCTGAATAAAGGTCATTTGTTAGATAATGGATTTCGATGTGGTACATGGGTACTGTATAGTGTATTTGATTTGTTTGAATTTACAGTGTCAGCTCCCATGACTCCATGGAGAGACAGGTGAGATCATGTCTTGGCCTGCTTGTCTGACTTTTGTCTTTTGCTTGTCCGACCACATCCTCAGAAACCACTGGAGCAATGAGGCTTAATTTTTTATGCTTGTTCCATCTATGATATCTGAATTTGTTCAAGAGGTTTGAATCTGATTTTCAATAGTCTCACCATACTGAAAGAACTTTTTATGATCATATGGTTTTGTTCAAAATTGAAAGGAATTAGGTGTGTGTGAAGTTAGTCGTGGGTGGTTATATTTCCTTAAAGTATAAATGAGTGAGTGAGTTAAAATTTAACGTCGGATCAGCATTATTTCATCCATATTGCGACAAGTATTAATGATGTAACTACTGTTTTAATATAAAACCCTGAATGGTGATTGAAATTTTTCACTTTACTTGGACTTAAAAGATGTTATGTTTAGCATGCCAGAAGAGTAGTTACACATCTAATTTGTTTTCCTACTTAATCAGAAGCTAGAGTTGTAATGTTGGCATACACCCCTACTAATTCGCTCATACAAGTAATATGTATTTTTCCCCAAGAGAAATGGAAGAGAAAATAAAAACAATGTCTCATTTACAATGTTAACCAGCCAGAGAAAGAAATAAGGAATTAATATTTTGTAAGTCTTTTATTCATACTAGAAGATGCCATGCAATGTTATATGATAATTTTTTTGGACAAAAATCAAATGTTTGTCTCTTATTTATGCGCTGGCAGAAACACTGTTCCATCATGTCTAGTTGTCTAACATGGCATAGTCACTCTTCTATTCATAGACACTGGGGTCATTTCTTGTCTTTCTTGACATGTGTCAAGTCATATTTTCCTCGGACACATTTAAGCTTGACCCCTGGGAGATCTTGCACCCTTCCCCCTCTAACGAGCACAACACTGTGCTCCTGGAGGTTGTGGCCCTCCCCAGGTACGTATGCAGTTACTTCTTTACCATTGCTTAATCGGACTCGTACACACTTCCGATTTGCAGAGTTTGGTTTTTTTGGTTTTTTAATAAGAGTTCTTAAGACAACCCCACGAAGAAATGGACGGCAATCAAGCGGACCGGGTTTAGGTGGTGGCCTTTTGAAAGCCCCTCGTCTGTGCATCTGGTTCAGTGTTGACATGCATCTCACTTGGTTCAATATAGTTCCTGCAAACAACCAGTATGTACAAATAATTAAAAACGATTGCATATATATATTTATGACAGAAATTGAAAGCTTTTTATCCTGGTGTTACCTAATATAAATAGAATCTTCATAGGCCCAAACACGCTGAAGTCCCAGGGATGCTGTAGCCTGACCTGAACATGCTGAAATCCCAGTGCGTGCTAGTCTGGACTGATGCCGATTCATAACGCTAGCCCACTGAGATACCATGCCGCAGTTTAACATGAGTACCCCGCTTAGACGCAGTACACTGACTCCAAGCCGACCAGTCCTTGTTTTAGCCCCTTAATGCCGAGTGCCAGACAGGGTAACAACAAGTACCATCTTTTAATGTCTTTTGGTATGACGCGGCCGGATATGGAACCCCGGACCTTCCGCTCTCCGGGTGGACACTCTACCACAAGACGACGGAGGCGGTCACATGCTGAAGGCCAAAGGAATGTTCTAGCTTGACCTAAACATGCCGAAGAAGATCATGTTGCAGCCTGACCAAAACGTGCTGAAGGCTTAGTGCATGTAGTAGCTTGACCATAACATGAAGGCATGCACAGGTTTGAGAGTGTCATGTAGTGTTATGTACAGGGTACACCCCTGTGATGAAGGGTAAAGCACTACAGTGTGATGTTATAGTTAAAAACGCCTCAATTTGGTTTGAGAACTTATGAACCGTATAAATGCAAGAAACACCAGAAAGAATAAAAGAAACATTGGAATACATTATCGTGAAACAATACAGTAGTTGTGACATAAAACAATTTGATGATGGCGGGCAAGAGAAAGACCATGTGCAGCATGAAGACAACTGAAGTCAGTGATGTGCAAGATTGAACACCCTTTCATCAGTGGCCCCAGTGGCTCAGTGGGAAAACAGTGGATTACAATACTAAACATGATTTGTGAGGTTGCAGGTACAATTCACATCATGGAATTTTCATGTGAAAAGAGTGTGACTTTTAAGCAGTCAAAAATCAATATTAGATGCATATTAGGCTAAAAAAAATAATATTCTAGGTTCTCAGGCACCGCCGCATCATCACAAAGTCTGCCGCACGTTTCGTTATTATTTCCATTTTCAAAAAATATAAAATCCTTAAATATTCCTCGTTCTTGAACACACAACCCAAACAGTGAAATGCTACAATACTTAAAGAAACAATGCGATCCAATATAACGTGCAGTTACCTCCCTTTTCATGCACACTGCTTTACTGCGCATCTGGTATGCTATGGTCATGGCAGCAATAAGAGTTTGTGTGCTTGTTTTGCTGTTTGCAAATTTGGTCAATGAAAACATTAAATTTGTGATACAACATCACTAGACATGATGATTTACAAATTCAATGGTACTTGTGTACTGTATGGGGAAAAATGTTTCATACGCAGAGGTAAAAATTTACAATTACATGTGTATTTGTCTCGGGATAAAGCGGGAAATTTATATACCCCGTCTATAAAGCGAATGAAGCACATCGCCAGTGCATACAAAATCCCTACATTTGCAATAAAAATGTGTTTGTCTTCGTCAGAAATTACATCGTATCCCTTCTGCGAATTCAGGGAGACAAACAGATTATAACAATTAAACTTGTCCAATACAAATTTGAAATTTGAGATAAAACATCACTGGACATGATGATTTACCGATTAAATTGTATTTCCCGTTCTGATTGGCATTGTTTAATATGCAGAGATTAAGATTACCGTGTGTCTTGTCTCGTAAACTGTCATTTATGATATATATCCATTCTCTATCCACTAAATTTTGTTTCAAGGCGTCAATAGCGGTAATTTGACCGTGGTTGCTGTAAATAACGGTGAGTTGTGCGATCTTCCGATCACTTCACATATGATTTCGTGGAAATGAATTGAAACAATATTGAATGAAATAAAATAGCTTACAGACATAAATCCAAATATAATATAAACTCTTTTTACAACCAGACAGTGTAATTACATGATTAATGTGCAGATTTGTTGACATGGTACTTCCGGTGTTATGTGCTCACAGTAATGTCTTTGTGTTGGGGAAAAAAACATTTAAAAAAATCAACCCTGTGTATAAGACACCAACCCCAACCTCCCTTGAAGGCCTCCTAATTTTCTAGCTATGAAAAACGTGCCTTATACACACGGTTTGGATTCTTGCAGAGAAAAGCTGCCTGCCTGCACAATATTTTTAAAAGCTATTGCCTGAGATATAACAACAAAGTTTGCAGGCTTTCCACTACTTCATGAAACTTTAAGAACAATAGGATGACAACATTACAGGTTTAAAAGCACAAGGGGAGAGAGCATCTATGACATACAGTGTTTTTACAGGGCACAGACCTGTGTGTTGGGAGGGAATAAAGTGTGTGTGCCACACAGTGTTATGAACTGGGCACATACCTGTGTGTTGGAGGGTAGGTTTTGTTTTTGTTTGTTTGTTGTTTAACGCTGTGCTCAGCAATATTCCAGATATATGATGGCGCACAGGGCTTTCTCAAAATTAGAAATAGGGGGCTCTTATTAGAATATTATTTTGGTGAAAAACAACAGAGTTGAAAGATCTTACATTTCGTGGTTTATGCTGACAGCCTGAAATGTTTATATACGACAGATATATTTTTCCAGAATTTAATTTCCCATAATTAAGGGTGCATCTAACATACGTATTATACAAGAATAAATATGTCTTGTGTACATTGATCAATCGGAAGGGGTGCTAATTGGGATAGTTCACTAGCCAATATATCAGCAAATATCGCCATGGGCACTTCTTACGTCGAATACGGTACCTGTGTGTTGGAGGGTAGTGAGTGTGTGTGTGACATACAGTGTTATGTACAGGACACATACCTGTGTGTTGGAGGGTAGTGAGTGTGTGTGTGACTTACAGTGTTATGTACAGGGCACATACCTGTGTGTTGGAGGGTAGTGAGTGTGTGTGTGACATACAGGGTAATGAACAGGGTACATACCTGTGTGTTGGAGGGTAATGAGTGTGTGTGTGACATACAGTATTATGAACAGGGCACATGCCTGTGTGTTGGAGGGTAGTGAGTGTGTGTTACATACAGTGTTATGTACAGGACACATACCTGTGTGTTGGAGGGTAGTGAGTGTGTGTGTGACTTACAGTGTTATGTACAGGGCACATACCTGTGTGTTGGAGGGTATTGAGTGTGTGTGTGACATACAGGACACATACCTGTATGTTGGAGGGAAGTGGGTGTGTGTGACATACAGTGTTATGTACAGGACACATACCTGTGTGTTGGAGGGTAGTGAGTGTGTGTTACATACAGTGTTATGTACATGACACATACCTGTGTGTTGGAGGGTATTGAGTGTGTGTGTGACATACAGGACACATACCTGTATGTTGGAGGGAAGTGGGTGTGTGTGACATACAGTGTTATGTACAGGACACATACCTGTGTGTTGGAGGGTAGTGAGTGTGTGTGTGACCTACAGTGTTATGTACAGGACACCTACCTGTATGTTGGAGGGTAGTGAGTGTGTGTTACATACAGTGTTATGTACAGGGCACATACCTGTGTGTTGGAGGGTAGTGAGTGTGTGTGTGACATACAGCATAATGAACAGGGTACATACCTGTGTGTTGGAGGGTATTGAGTGTGTGTGTGACATACAGGACACATACCTGTATGTTGGAGGGAAGTGGGTGTGTGTGACATACAGTGTTATGTAGAGGACACATACCTGTGTGTTGGAGGGTAGTGAGTGTGTATTACATACAGTGTTATGTACATAACACATACCCGTGTGTTGGAGGGTATTGAGTGTGTGTGTGACAAACAGGACACATACCTGTATGTTGGAGGGAAGTGGGTGTGTGTGACATACAGTGTTATGTACAGGACACATACCTGTGTGTTGGAGGGTAGTGAGTGTGTGTGTGACTTACAGTGTTATGTACAGGACACATACCTGTGTGTTGGAGGGTAGTGAGTGTGTGTGTGACTTACAGTGTTATGTACAGGACACATACCTGTGTCTTTGAGGGTAGTGAGTGTGTATTACATACACTATTATGAACAGGACACATACCTGTGTCTTGGAGGGTAGTGAGTGTGTGTGTGACTTACAGTGTTATGTACAGGACACATACCTGTGTCTTGGAGGGTAGTGAGTGTGTGTGACATACAGTATTATGTACAGGACACATACCTGTGTGTTGAAGGGTAGTGAGTGTGTGTGTGACATACAGTATTATGAACAGGACACATACCTGTGTGTTGGAGGGTAGTGAGTGCGGGTGTGACTTACAGTGTTATGTACAGGGCACATACCTGTGTCTTGGAGGGTAGTGAGTGTGTGTGTGTGTGACATACAGCGTAATGAACAGGGCACTTGCCTGTGTGTTGGAGGGTAGTGAGTGTGTGTTACATACAGTGTTATGTACAGGGCACATACCTGTGTGTTGGAAGGTATGCTGTAGCAGGTACTCGGAGATGCTTGACACCGCAGAGGTGCACAATGCTCGACATGCTCCTAGAAGGTGAGTCATAGTAAGTGTGATCTGAAACAAACACATTATAGTAAGTGTGATCTGAAACACATTATTTTCAAATGAGACCAGTGTAAATTTGAGACTGATACCATCAATTTACTTATAATTAGGTTACATTCACTGAGTTTTTCTCACCACAAAAAAACATAAATGCTTCAAGGATGCTAAACCCCAAACCCCAGACATTTTAGAACTTAGTCCTTTGAAATAGTCCAGGCATGTTTTATAGAACTTCTATGTTAGTCTAGATATTCTGATCTAACAGCCAGCCAATAGCAGGTAACAATTTGGAAATATCCATTTTTCTATTGCCATTGTACAGTTATATGCATATTTTCATTTATTACTAATTAGTAGTGTTTGTTCTATGACAAATAACATGTAAGGGCACACCCAAAGGTGTCATCAACAGTTGTCAATACACGTAGATGGACAATGTTTGAAAGTTTGTCTATGGTGTGGGTGCTAAGAATCTAAGAATAGATATCGGCCATCAAGAACATGGAAGCCCTAAGTCACTATCACAGCTCCTGTCATTCCTTTGGCATCGAAAACTAACTTGGCAACCATCACAGTACCGCTGAAAGACCTCACCTAGAAACAGATTGAATATCTATGGCACCCAGAACACTAGTCCTGCACCATGATTGTGGAATATATTAATTTTATAAAAAAAAAAAATCTAGAAAAGTATACAAAAGCAAGTCTAGCCAGCTCTATTCCACACTATGAAATCAGCATAGGGATTTTTTTTTTAGAGTCAAGAAGGATATTGTGCAATATAAGATTTCATAGACTAGATGTTTGGGAGCACCTTTAGAATACAGTACCACAACTTCTCGTGAGGACGATCTCTGCCGTAGGTCACATGTCTCAGGACAAGCAACCAGTTTTTAGTGAGAATCCGTCGGACTCGAACCCGTGACCTTCGGATTGTTAGCCTGACAGCTAACCGACTGAGCTACGTCCACACTGTTAAACTTAGTGCAAATTTACCTAGTCGTGCCTATGACGTTACGGAACTGAACGAAAAGGGTCGAATAGGTGACGGACACTTACGAAGGTTACAGGTAGGCATGGTGTCTCGCAACTTTAGTCTACGGACACTTACGAATGATCCCGATGCCATTTGGCACACTCGTCCCATTCCGTAAGCTACAAGATACTGAGTGGTGGGGAATGAGTCGATATGTCGCGAACTGAAAACGGCTCCAGGCGTCAGACGTCAGACGTCGAACTCGCGAGTACGCATGAATGATATGGTATTTAATAATTCGTAGTGTGATTTTTGTGACAGAAAAGTGTGGTAGGGAACACTGTAAGGATGATGTGGATAATAGTAAGGAACAATGGAGGAATAAGCATGACTAGTGACGACACAACGGTGAGTTCGCTTTTGAATCAGTCCTGAAAAAATGTAGCCGGTGAAAGTGGCTTGTCTGAATGTTCCACGACAGTTTCCAGTAGCCAAAATATTCGACACAAAACCATTTCATTCTTTGTACTCAACGTTTTTGTGTGAAGAATATTAGGAGCCGCTATATAATCTATAATAGCCACTAAACGAGTACCTGACCCTAATGATCGTAAAGGGGTGATTGATCGTAAAGGGGATCCAAGGGCTAAGGATAGAGAGTTCGGGGTAACCTACCCTAAAACTGGCGACATTTGGATGTGTTCAGCGCCAATATAATATCCCTTATAAACTGCATTCTTGTGCATAATAATGAAAATTAATGAACCGAAAAAATAATGTATGTATATTAGTTCCGATTTATAACCATTTTATTCACTTCAATTATGAGAAAAACGAAATAAAAAATATATAAAAAATAAAAGTGCTTTCGTAAACTAGCGCTTGCTCTAAAATGCGCCGCCGCAGGCCATAATTAGTAAACAAATACTCAAAACTCTCAACACTGCAGGGCGTATTCAATGACATTGCGTGTAGAAATGATAGATCACTGGGAGGAGCTTATGTGCACTCGATGACCCCTGACGTCACTGGGCATTGTTTCGTCGGTGTGACTGGCAACAAAATACTACAAATTACGTCATAGGGTATGATCACGTGTTTGAAAAGTTTGTGGTACTGTATTCTAAAGGTAGGCCGATGTTTGTCTACCAGAACACCAACTTCCAACGTCCAGTGACACATGCTAGTTAAAGTCTCTTGGAAACAGAAGGCAATTACAGCAACATTGAGAGAGACAGGTGCTAGCCATTATATTCAGACTTGAGTGTTTTCACCACTATGTATATTAACTATTGACCAGTCACATGATCAATATTGACTTTGGTGGGAAACAACATGGTATCTGCAACATATCTCGACTGAATTATTATTGAAAACATATAAGGCGATAACTTTTTAAATTCAAATTTCAGATTAACTTTACAACTGAATAACTCTATTTTTTTGCATAATGACCACGCAAAAAGTAATTATATGTACACGTAGTAGATCTAGTGTTTTGTGTGTGTGTATACATGCCATTTCATACAGTCTCTGCAGTACTGTAGAGGTTTACTACATTACCATTTTGCAGGATTTCGTCCTGTCCCAAATCAATGAGAGAACTGCTCTAAATCTCTATCTGACTCTCTAATGGTAGACTGTAAAAAACCCAGACGTACAGCGAATATTGCTGTAAAAGGGCATACACGTACTGTCTCATACAGAGACCATGATCAGCTGACGGTGTGGGGCTAAAACGCTTTTTCCTTAGACTTCGGAGATGTCGACGTGTACTGTGCACCCTTCACCGAACAAGCATGTATAACTACGCTTGGTCTAGGTGAGCTAAAGAAGACACTCCTGAAGACAAACCGACAGTTAAGTCTTACGTGGTAAATAAACTTGGTATATAGATCTCTCTTGCTTCTGCTCGATGTAATGGACGCAGTGAAAAACTGAAAAACAGCGCGTGTATAAAATGAATTATAAACACTCGAGACGCTTCCAATTAAAGTGGAGAATTTAATACGCGTTACGTATTCGGGATGGGACATGGAACTATAGATAACCACTGATCATATACATTATGTTTCTCCTCCGAAAATAACAAATGAAATCATATTCCGCATATCAATTGCCATTACGTTTTAGTGTTAACCGGAAGCATTATCGCAGCAAATGAGGTTTTACGAAATTGTGGACTGTTTTGTCGCACTTGTATCCCATTTCTTTTGGCATTTGTCCTAACTTAGCGACTGTCACTGTTTTTGAGTGAATGTACAAAAATGGCGTCTACTCACAAATCTGACAAACACAGTACATTGACTCTCATGACGATGCAGTTCGCGGCTGGTGGATGCGCAGGTAATAACACATGGAAATCATTTGCCATATCTACCTAGCCGAGAGCCACGGGGTCGTCAGTCATGGATGACCCTACATCACGATGTGATGGGATGTAGGGTCACGCCTTGACTGTACGACCCCATCGCGGCTCTCGACAACTATCTGACACACTATCGGCATAGTATGCCGGGGTCATTCCAGTACAGTAAAGGGGCGTTCACACGCCACAACTAGTTGCATGTAATTTTAATATTAAGTCTTCTCGTCAACGAGTTTTTTGCGAATTTGTTTATTATTATTGTAACACGTGCTGTGGGCGGACATACTTTACTTACAAGGCAAGATGCCGGTTCACAACCCTCAATGACTGTACACATGTTGTGTTGTGAAGTTGTGACGTCATACACATGATGTCATACTCATATGCTGGTAGTAGTGAGACTACTTGTCACACTGAACACAATGCCATTTAGAAAGGGTCAAATGTAACAAATGTTATATTTGGGATAACACTTTCTGAGTAAAGTACAGATTCTCGTACGTTTTTGGGTCAAGTCCGTGAAGATTCAGGTAAGAATAGGTCTTCAGCAACCAATGTTTACCATGAGAGGCGACTATGCTTGTGATAAGAGGCGACTTACAAGATTGGGTGGTCAGGCTTGCTGACTTGGTTGATGCATGTCATCGTATCCCAATTGTGTGGATCGATGCTCATGTCATCAACCACTGGATTGTCTGGTCTAGACTCGATTATTTACAAAATGGCATATTGCTGAGTGTGGTGTTAACAACAAACAAAACATGCCCCAAACAAGGTAACTGGTTCATATTATACATAAAACTATTGTCGGTTATAAGTTTGATATTTGCATTTTGTTTTCATTCATTTGCTGTAGCAGGAATGCAGAAGGCCTCGATGGTGACTGATCAAATTGTTCCATACATACAAAATTCAGTTGTGTGAAAGTGCTACGCTTATGGTTATTATTGTTTTAAATATATATAGTAATAGCTGCAAGTAAAATAAGTCCTTATGGAATATGTTATTTCTGATCAAATAATAGTTTCAGATACAATTCATCTGATCATTGCATCAAAATTCTTTGAAGTTATATTATTGGGTACTGAATCACTGGTAGATTGGTAGAAAATGTGTGTACAGCTGATTGCTATTTCTGGCTTAGTTTACAAGAAAATACACACAGTAATCTTTATTTCTGCACAATGCCTAGAAGAACAGAAAATACAATTTAAATTGTAAATCATCATTTCAGGAGAAAATTTATCTTAAATTTCACATTTTTATTGACAATTTTGTTATCGCCTGTTCGTTTATCTGCATTCTCTGAAGGGATACTATGTAGTTTTTTATTCTTCACAGTATGATGTTGACCTTTCAAGTCATGTATGCATTAATCAAGTTTGGGTGCAGCTCTTTATTGTATATCCATTGTTATGAAATACAGCTTCATTCTTCGATCTTCTGGAAGGCGCAGCAAGAATAACACTAAGCATGAGTCACACCAGTCAAAATTATAGTCCATAACAAGCAACTTTTGAATCCACGAAGAAAGATCCCATCCATATCTGAATACGTTCAAACTTGTTATGTTATTTCCCTTTCACAGTGTGCGAGAATTGTTGTCATGTGGCACTGGGCCAACCACTGACTGTGCAATTTTACGAAGTTGTATAGTGTTGAATTTTCTACACCTAGATGTAAAATTAAAGACATGTTGTCAAAACGAAAAAACCTCTAAACCATAGCTACTTTTTTCATACACCGATAGTTCCGCTTTATGTAATCTGTAAGCGAACATTTTTGCAGTCTAATATCTGAGTGACACACTGATATATACTGAACAACAAAAGTTCCTGTGATAAGATTTGATGCAAAGTTACGTTTTTTACCAAATCTGAAACAATTTTGGTTTGCAACAGATAGAGACTCCTATAAGTGTTCAAATGGTTTAATTTGCCATACTGACTTCAGAAAATGCGTTATTTCATAAAAAACATGAACATGCCAAAATGTCAATTTACAAATCAATAGCATGTGTGTCCACCTCTGTTTGCGATGCCAGCAACACATCTTCGTCTCATGGAATGGACCAGGCGTCGCACAAAGTCTTGTGGGATATCTGTCCATATATGCTGGAGCATGTTTCGAAGTTCCTGGAGTGTCTGTGGAACACGTGGTTGACCTCGAAATTGCCGATCCATCTCATCCCACATGTGCTTGATTGGTGAGAGATCAGGGGAGCGAGCCGGCCAGGGGATGACATTCACGTTGTTTTGTTGAAGAGAATCCTGAACAAGTCTAGTAATATGAGGCCAGGCGTTGTCGTGTTGAAAGGTAATGCCTGGGCCACGACGACGCAAAAACGGTAGAACAACAGGGCCGATGATCTTGTCACTGTAGCGCTCTCCATTGAGATTTCCCTCTACCACTATCAAACGGGTCCTCTGTCTTGCTGTTATCCGACCCCCATACCATAACGCTGCTGCCCCCGAACCAATCTTCTTCCATGACACAATGATTGACGTAACGTTCACCTCGACTTCGGTACACTCGAAACCGCCCATCGCTGTGTCTGAGGTGAAAACGAGACTCGTCAGTGAATAGAACTTGTCCCCACTGCATGGCCATCCAGCGTAGACGCTGTCTGCACCACTGTAGACGTTCTTGAAGGTGGTTTCCTGTCAAAATGGGACGTCTGGCGGGTCTTCTGGCGACAATCCCTGCACATCTGAGGCGACGACGTACGGTTTGTGAAGATATTCATCGAAGGCCAGGGATGCTTCTTACAGTCACTGTTGCTGGCTGGAATCGATTTGGTAGGTGTGTTGTTCGAATCCAGTTGTCTTGTCGATTATTGGTTACGCGTGGCCTGCCACTCCGAGGATGGTCTCTGACTGCATTCGTCTGTTGCCAACATTGCCATAAACACCATTTGGTGTTTCTGTGGACGTTTAATTGTCTTGCAACTTGTAAATAAAAAAATCAAATTTGTAAATTATAATTGAGCCGAGCATTTTTGTTCTTTACACAAGCAATGGTGACTTGTATGGTAACAGTCATTCCCATGAGATGTATGACAGTTTGTTAATGAAAGAATTAAAAAGGTATGTATGTCTGTCTTGATGAGGGTTTTTTCTATTTACACAGTAAAAAGATTGGTGAATCTGTTTTGAATAATTTTATAAAATCAGAGTTATGTTTGCCTGTATTATTGCAGGAGCCTGAAGGTGGATGGGCAAAGTAAACACCCTTGATTGAATTGTCAACTTATGGCGCCAGTTTTAGTTAGGGGTATGACTTATGATCCAACAGGACACGAGAGACCTCCTCCTTACAGGATTTATTGGCACACACCTGAGGGGAGCAACCTGTGTTTTCTTATACTAGGTAGACCCATCTATAAGAAATGGGGCAAAGTTTCAGTCTAATAATAACGTGTACAGGAGGTTTTGTCTCCAGTTCTCGAAAGTATTCAGGGTTTCTGCCTTTCTGAGGCACCACTGTTTTGGTGCCCATTGTGCATTCGCCATAATGATGGTGTCATTCCCACGTGTTAACCAGGTGCTCTACCGCCTGACCTGCAGCCCATGTTCAGTGAAACACAAGTAACACAGTTCGTTGTGATGCCTGCTTCATTATATGTGAGTCGAAACCTGCTGCCACAACGCCAGTTTGGTTAAGGGGTGCTGTATGACATGATTCAACAGGACACAAGAGAACTTATAGGATTTATTGGCATACATGTCTACAAGCGCTACCAGGCAAAACGAGATCCGAGAGCAAGGAGAGTTGAGTAAGGGAGATAACTCCCATTCTAATAACCTGCAAAGCAAACCTGTTTGGTATAGGGACACATAATGAAACATGATTAGTGTAGCATGCTGCATTGCATTATCCAGTTCATGTGCCATCTATGTACTTGCAGCATCAGCATCTCCTGGCCAAATCAGTGTGGTCATTTTGACACCACTTATTCACCTGGAGTTAGGAGATAAACATACTGTGCTTTCAACATTGTTAGGTTACCTTTAGATTAACCGCCCTAAACTGAATTTTGAACTGAGTGTGCTGCTAGATTCAAATTTAGCACAGTTAAATCTACAGGTAACCTAGCTCTACATAGAAAACACAGTATGTTTATCTCCATTCTACCATGACTAAGTAAAACACAAACTCTTTTGGGTCAGCAAATACATTGAGTGAAGCAGCATGGCTTGAGTTCATTGTCGATCAGAATTGAAAGATTCACTAGCAACAACCTTTAACTTTCAAAAAAACCTATGGCGCTGTATTTGCTTCCCGTAATACTTCACACAAACTTACGACAGACGCTGAAAGTACCTCGTAAGCTAACACGAGGTTGGCACCCCTAAAGAAAACTAAGCATGCCTTGCAAAGGGGTTCATTCTACACTGCACTTCACTATCATGACGTTATATCGCTCATTTTTCTCAAAAGATATGATGTCACAGTCATATATAGTAAAGCCCAGGGATGTGAAATCTCCGCGGAAACGCGGAAAATCGCGTTTTTTAAAACAGTAGTCCTCGGAAAAAATCATCATCCGCGTAAAAATTTAATATTTTTTTTTTAAAAATACACTCCGAAAAATATAATCGAAAACCGGACAACCGTCGTGGATTGTCCTGTTTTCGATCAGGGCTTTCACCAGCATAGGTTTTCGGACATCATACGTTTTCTGTCACGAATACTTGCACTCTAACGTGGGGTGTGGCGTCACACAGAAATTGTAAATACTCAGAGTCAGCTGATGGCTTGTTTTTAAGATAAAGTTGTCTTTTAGCCTGTAAGTGAATGAGATGTTTTACAGTTCATGTGATTAGCGAGAAAACTATGAATATTTCTTCAGCGTCCAAAACCCCATAACATTGGGATATATGTTGTATTAATGTCTTATGTTTGCAATGGAGTTTTGTTTTTTCATCAAAAGGTAAGTACAAGGTAAGTTTTTTTCAATATGCTTCAACATGGGGAAGGGGTCAGACATTGCACGCTTGTGACAGTTGTCCTTGTGTCTGGGGGATGGGGGTTGAAGTTTATGGCAGTATTGCTCCCAGACCTGGCGGGTAGCCAGGTGCGCGTAAGCTATGCCAGATTTTTTAAAAGTACTGATTTAACTTCGAAATTTTACTGCATCTGTCATCTTGTTCATTTGACTTATTGAATTTTGCCATTGACTTATTACATTTCTTGGTGTGAATGTTGTTCAAACTGCACGAAATTGCTTAAAATGCAATCAAATGTTTTAAAAGTTTCTGGGTGGGCATGCCCCCATACCCCCCTAGACTTTTCCTCTTTTTTCGTGAAAATCTGCTCACATCCCTGAAAGCCCCAAATAGCATCCTTCTGTTCTCAAAACTTGGAATACTTTCTCTTTGAAGATTTCTATTGTGTATTCTGCATGAAATGTATTGCCACACATCCTTTAAATATTGTAGAAACTGCAACTTTTCATTTTGTAGACTATAATTGTACTTAAAATATTTAAATATGCCTAGAACAATGACTGTAAAAGAAGTTCTATTCTAAAAATATTAGCATCTGTGGTGATGCGGCCATCAAATCGGTTGTTTCGATCAGGGAGTTTATTGTGATTTGATACCTGTTCTGGAGAACTGTTGTCAGGAACTTGGAATGTTCGTGTTTGTTTGAGTTTGTGGAAACAAATTGAAGCATTTGCATGGACGCTGTTTGCCTTGCGGATACTTTAGATCGTGGGAATTGAGGGACACGTGAAATGGACCATGTATTCTAAAAGCTTTTGTCAAAATTAAGACAGTTTGAAAAATACTGCGTAACAAATGGTAGCAGAGCGTGGTTGGGATAGTTTAGAGTATTGTTATCTGGGTATAGCATGTAGTGTGCACATTAGCAGATCAACTGCATTTTAGGTCGTGCATTGAACTGACAAAGTCTCCAATGTTTCATGTTTGATGCAACAGCAAAATAAGAAGGTGTACCATCAATGACAGTGTTCATCAAGGTCCAAAATTACAGGGTGACCTATTTCCGATATTGCTCAGGTTTTGTAGGGACCTAGTTTCGATTACTTTGGAGGTCAAACAATCAGAATGACATGACACAAGTTTACCAATTCTCAAGAGTAGTCTTTGGTGTGTTTGCTTCTCCGTTTTTGGCACAGTACATGTCACAAGAACATGCTAGAAGATTTCTAGATATTCTACCAAAAGCTGCTTTGACTGTGTTAAAGTCGACCTGAATGGATGACCACATAGACTCCCTTCCAAGTGAGTTCGAAGCCAGAGCTGTATGAGCAGCATACTGAGTTATGGGGGAAGGCAGGCATGTGTGCTAGAAAGTGGTAAAGCAATTCCCCTGAAGTCTAGCAAAACATAGGGCTACTGAGGTTAACCTTGGTAGGGATGAGTTGCCAACTGCAAAAACACTTGACATGGGTTGCTAAATCTTCCGTAGTACTTGTACACACAACAGTTGGATACTTACAAAGAGAGATTTTCTTAGAGAAATGCCTGGGGTATGCAATCAGTTAGGATTCTTTGCTCCTATCATCATCAAAGCAAAAATCATCATGCAGGAAATCTGGCTCAGAGGTTTAGATTTGGATGAAGAGCTTCAAACTGATTGGAAACAAAAAGCGTTGCTTTGGCTTAATCAGGTGAAAGGGTTTGAAACTGTTAGATTCCTGAGATGCTTTCAACTCAAGATCAACATTAAGGACAGGAGATTGCATATTTTCGTTGATGTTTCAGAAAGTGCAGATGGGGCAGTTGTATACAACGTGACTACCTATCAAAGTGGGACAGTGTCTAGTCACCTGGTGGCGTCAAAGTTTCGAGTAGCACCTGAAATCAATAGCATTCCTCGAATGGAGTAAATGGCACTAAGGCATTAAGCCCCATCCCTGACTGTCATCAAAGCTTTGAAATCAATATTGCTGTTGTGATTCTTTGGTCAGATAGTCAAAATGTGCTGTGTTGGATATAAAAACATATTCAAAACATTTGTTTGTTTGTTGTTTAATGCAGCAATATTCCAGCTATATGATGGTCATCTGTAAATAATCGAGTCTGGACCAGACAATTCAGTGGGTGACATCATGAACGTCGATATACACAATTGGGATACGATGACATGCATCAACCAAGTCAGCGAGTCTGACCACCCGGTCCCGTCAGTTGCCTTTTACGACAAGCATAGTCACCTTTTAGGGAAAGCATGGGTTACTGAAGACCTATTCTACCCCGAGTCTTCACTGGTCTCAAAACATTTGTAGCCTATTGGATAGCCTTTATCCAAGAAAATACTGTTCCTAGTCAATTCCTTCTGTTAAAAATCCAGCAGATATCCTATCTAGGTGTAGAACAATTGCTAATCTGAACAACAAAGCATGGATGTCTGGATCTGACTTTCTGGAAAAGGATGTATCTGAATGGCCTGAGCAGACTGTGGTCACTCAAACATAAGATGATCATGAAGCTAAGAAACCTGTGACATCAAAAAAGCAATTCTCTACAATGGTGACATCTGACTGGTGTTGGAGACTAGATTTGAGCAGACATTCAGAATGGCAAAAACTGCTTAGGATTACAGCATAGGTTTATAAATTTGTGAACAACAGACGTTCTGAATTAAGTTTGAGAATAACAAAGTCACAAAGAGCTTATTGGTGCAGAGATGTATCATTGAAGTCGAGCACAAAAGGAGGAATTCACCAAGGTCTCAATCTCATTAAAATCAGATCTTAGTTCTCACTATCGCTAAACAAAGATCTGAGGACACCCCATTACGGGTCACGTCAGAACGACCTTTCATCAAACCAATCAGAGTGTTGCTTACCAGATCATGAAAGTGACAGTTGAAATGTGTTTTCTAATCATGCAATGGGATGTCCTCAGATCTTTGTTTAGTGGTAGTGAAAACTAAGATCTGATTTTAATGAGATTGCCAAGGTCTGCCCACTTGAATGTTGGAAATAATTGCTGTCAAGCAGTAAACTCAATGGACTTGATCCCATACTTGATGAAGATGGGTTGATTGGATGTGGAGGTAGACTGCAGTATGCAAATTTTCTACCTTTTGATGCACGGTTCCCTATAGTATTGCCACTTACATCTAATCACTTTCTTCATGGTCAGTCGGGTGGAATCTTTGCTCCTGTCTAAATGGCTTCCTTCTCTACAAGCAAGGAAGAAATGGTTTATACCAAGCTGTGATCTTGAAGTAGAAGATCTTGTTCTGGTTATCTCCCCTCAGTCACCTGTAGGCTGTTGGATCACCGGACGAATCACATCCAGGAAGAGACGGACACATTCGAGTTATTGACATACAGACCAGTAAGGGTGTCGTGAAAAGACCAGTGACAAAAGAGTGTCCACAGGAATGGAATGTGTCAGAAAATACCGTTGGAGAAGGCTTCAAGAAGACCAACAGAAGGATTCAAGGAACGGATAGAAGAATTCACGGATAGAGGATTAGAAAAATTTGTGATTGGAGCATTCAAAGAAGAGTTCATGGATAGAGGTTATGAAGAGTTCATGGATAGAGGATTCAAAGGACTCGAGACAGGAGAGATGTTATGTAATGATGGACATTCAAGGAACGTATTTCGAATGACTGTATAGTGATAATTTTTCATTTCATGATACAGAATGTGCTTTTTCTGACAATGAACATTATTCTTACCAGTGAGTTTACATGCTTCCAAATGGAATATTTTCATATGTTAAACACTAAATGTTGAAATGACTGCTTTGTTTTTCAGGATATGTGTGGGCTTTTTATGAACAGTTTAGTTGCATAGTATTCAAATATGTATGTATATATGCTTTTTGTGACTAACAACTAATAATTGAAATGATAGACTGGGATCTATCATTTGTTGGGGGGAATGTTCTGGAGAACTTGTTTGAGTTCATGAAAACACTGTTTGCTTCGTGGATGTTGTAGAACGTGGGAATCGAAGGACACGTGAAATAGACCACGTATTCTAAAAGTTTTTGTCAAAATAAAGTCAGTTTGAAAAATACTGCGTAACAATGCCTCTGATTGACCAATAAGAATTGAGTATTTTCAAAAATCATGGTAGAATGAAATATCTTTTTTTTTTTTTTGTGATCTCAGAAAAATCATTTACATTGTGTGCTTTGTGTGTTTAGGGTTTGTGGAAGTGTCGATCATGCATCCGCTTGACCTCATCAAGACCAGGTTCCAGATTCAGCGTGGGCCAGATGACCCCCAGAGATACACTTCTATGGCTGACTGTGTCAAGAAGATGTACAGGAGTGAAGGGTAACTATTTAATTATTGTCACTCTCAATATGTTTGTGAAGTTGTCAAATGATTTCATCAGTAAACCTAGTATTCTGATTATTTTTTACTTATCCTGCATTAGTCCTTAATGCATATTACTGCATGTTCTTGATAGAGAAAAGAGCTGTGTGAAGGTCTTTGCTTGAAGAAGTTGTTCCAACTAGCTGAGAGGCCAACCCTATCCCGCAGCTCCCACGTGACCATAGGAAGTTGATGTCACGGATCCTCACATTACTCTTGTCACTTGCTGAGTCAAGACCTGTGTTTTTGCTGTAGCATAAACTTGTTCAAACCCTCATGTGTTTGCTATTTGAGTTAATGTTTATTGTCTTTGTGTTGTAGTATGTATTGTACATTCTATGTTTGATAAACATGTGCATAACATTTTTTGGACACTTACTGGCGTTTTCCCAAAAGAAAACAATGGATAATCCCAGGTGTCTTCTTGTTTCAAGTAGCCATCTTGAAAATTTTACATGGCCAGCTAGTTGTGAACTGGCTCGTGTTCTATATTCTTCTTGTCTTGAGCGCATGCAGTCACACCTGACTCCAACCCTCCACCTACCATGCCTCGTTGGCTCCTAACCTCAGCGCAGGACTTGACCTACAGAGGAAGGCTCCAACTCCAACTGTTCAGATGTTCCTGGCTCCCTACATCAGGATCAGGCGCCCGACCCCTCGGTATGCATCGTTCTCCCGGATCACCTCAAGCAGCATCTACGGTGGTGGACGGTGGAATCAAATGTCTTAGTCGGCGGGTTCCTGACAGGGTTTACAACGTGTCTGCGCCTATTTGTAGACGCTTCCCTGCAAGAATGGGGTGCACACCTGGAAGAACAGGTCGCCTCGGGGCTGTGGTCTGCTGATCAGCGCCTATGGCATATCAACAACCTTGAACTGGAGGCGCTTATCTTGGCCATCGCTCATTGGAAGCAGGCCCTCAGATGTTCTTCTCAAAGGACAACATAATCGTCATATGGTGCCTACGGAACCAGTGAACAACTCACTTGACCTTGCTCCTTCAACATATTTTTTTCACCAGGTGGATCATCTGGGGATCACATTCAACACAGTCTGGGCTGCCGAAACATCCTAGCGAATGCACTATCTCAGCCAGGCAAGGTCTCTCCCACAGTGTGGAAGCTTCACCCAGACACCTTTGCTCTTGTTTGTCGAGACCAAACAAGACTTATTTCATCACCAGCCAGAACTGCCAGATCCCGACCTATGTATCACCGGTCCCGGATCCCCTGGCTTGGGCAGGTGACGCTTTCAGCGTCCTCTGGGAAGTATTAGCAGCATACGCTTTTCCGCCATGTCTGGTCCATTTACAGAGAGCACTGAATGCCAAGGGCTACTCGGCCAGAGCGGCTAGGGCCATCACGATGGCGCATCGCCTGACCATTAGGAGCCTCTATGACAACAAGTGGCAATCCTTTGAGAGCTTTTGCAGGGGCAAACAACAAGATCTCACATCTGCATCGCCTCAATTCTTGGCCGAGTTCATGCTCTATCTTCGCCACCAGCGTAAGCTCGAGGGTAGTACTATCACGACCTACCTTGTGGCATTTAACTCCGTCCTGGCAGTTCCGGAAGATCAGCGCGTGACGAAAATCTCTTAACTCCAGGCTCTGCTCCGCTGGAAGACGAAAGGCGAACTTTCGTCCACCAGGTTGGCACTTGAATGTCATTCTCACCTCGCTGAGAGACCCACCCTTCAAGCCCCTTGAAACAACGTCATTCTACAATCTGACAAAAAAGACAGTCTTCCTACTGGCGCTTGCTACAGCAACCCGTGTCAGTGAGCTATATGCCTTGGAAGTCACGCACGTCCACTTTGAGCATTGAGCACAGGGAGCCATGCATCTTGGACTGTGCTGGGACTTCATTGCCAGACAGATTGTTCCTCATCCCTCCCCAATCTTCGATTGTGGGCGCAGAAGATGAACAAGAGCTCTGATGCAAGGAACGCCATAGACAACGACGACGCCCCTCCATACCGGTATCTGCAACCTCGCGAGCGGAAGGCAGCCGCAACACGATCTGGCTACGAGCCATCATTCACCAGGCCTACAAGGCCGCGGGATTGGACCACCCAAGCTCCAACAACCCACATGAGACCCGGGCGGTCGCCTCCACCATGGCGCTACACAGCAACTGCGCTCTTCGTGTCATCTTGGAGGTCGTGTTTCGTCACCAGTCACCATCTGTGAGATGTCGCATTGGAGGATGTGCAAGGCACGCACAACTTGGTCCGTTAGTAGTGGCCCAACAGGACACCACTACTACTGTAAGCGAATTACTTTTAAAGACTCATTCCCGCCTCAAGAGTTTGCATAAACTCTTGTTACGCTTACAAATATTCAAACGAGGTTCTCCCAGTTTGGGTGGCACTCTGAGTGATCGAGTAAAGCTTAAATCCTAAACAAAGGGACAAACTACAATATTATTCCACATACTGATTTATTACCATTTTCAAGTGTTTTGTAAATGATATACATGAATCTCCAGTTCAGAACCCACTAAATATAAAACCACGGAAGTATTAGCGACCAGTATACATGCGTTACATGTTCAGACACGGTTTACACACCAATGGAAGTATTACCGACTAGTTTACATGTGTTACACATTCCTACACAAACTGGTTTACAAACCAATGGACGTATTATCGACCAGTATACATGTGTTACAAATTCCTACACAAACTGGTGACAACCCAATGGAAGTATTCTCGACCAGTATACATGTGTTACATGTTCAAACAACGGTTTACAAACCAATGGACGTATTATCGACCAGTATACATGTGTTACAAATTCCTACACAAACTGGTGACAACCCAATGGAAGTATTCTCGACCAGTATACATGTGTTACATGTTCAGACAACGGTTTACAAACCAATGGACCTATTATCGACCAGTATACATGTGTTACAAATTCCTACACAAACTGGTGACAACCCAATGGAAGTATTCTCGACCAGTATACAAGGGTTACATGTTCAGACACAAACTGGTTGTTACAAACCAATGGAAGTATTCTCAATATGGAACGATAGACACGGAGGCGTCAACCGCTTTCACTATTCACAGTCCTCGAACATATCGAACACACTCGGTCGAACGATAGACACAGAGGCGTCAAACGCTTTCACTATTCACAGTCCTCGAACATATCTAATACACTCTCGGTTGACACACCGGGTCCAAAGTTTTGAAACTTCTTTAGCCTAACCAACACTGGCACACAATTTCCAGCAGAAAATATTAAAAAGCTACGTGCTAAATCTATCCCATTATAACAAACATGATAACCTACTCATAAAGAAAAAAATGGTGTGACTGGGCAAATAAAAAGAACAAACTACTACTAATACAATTATCTTACCATACCGAACGCACGTGTGCACAGATTCCGGCAAGCCTGTCCCCGGAGCCAGACGCTGACTGAAGCTCGTGCGGCACGCACAAGCTTAAATATCCCTTTCCCAAAACCCGGATGTTCGAAACACCCGTATGAACCAAGGTAACTTCCTGTTCCGGTTGTGGCGAGTATAGCGTGTAAACTTCCGTTTCATCACCCCCCCTCCATGGACAAAGGACGGCCTCCGGGCGTCCACCCTCGTGCTGGTCAGAAAGAACCTCTTCCGCAATCCTCAGCATGGGGACAGTCTTTGACATACAGACCATACCGATTCACTTGTAAATACATAGGTGTATATATATATATTACACACACATTATTCTAAAATCACTTCTGACACCAAGCCACAGTCCACCCAAAACAAAATCAACATGCAGTACAGTAATGTGGATAAAAAAAAATTGAGTTGCGGGCTCCGGTACAGAAAAAGTTACAATTAAGATTTTAACAATATGGGAATTTAAAGCAAAATTGATATGAAATTTTAAGAAATATATACATGGAAAAAGAAAAGGCACCAAACAATACGTCTGCTAAGTAACCCTATTCCTAATTTATATAAACATTTCTACTCCTAAAATACAATCTAAAATATACCTACCTTATCTCTAGCTTACAACAAAAACGAGCACTTGAAATCCTGAGGACACCGAATATTAAACAAACTAGATTTCGAGCCAACATACTCGAACAGACTGAATCTCGAGCTGCGGAATTTCAAGCAACCAAGTACCAAGCAAGCAGAGTTTTGAACAAGCAAAATCGAGCAAACATTAGTGCTTGAATAAAACACAGGAGAACTTATCAAAACATATTAAAACATATCAAAACATATCAGAACGTATCAGAACGTATCACAACATCTCACAACATCTCAGAACGTATCAGAACGTATCAAAACGTATCAGAACATATCAAAACATCTCAGAACATCTCAGAACATATCAAAATATATCAAAAAGTCTCAGAACATATCAGAACGTATCAAAACGTATCAGAACATCTCAGAACATATCAAAACATATCAAAAAGTCTCAGAACATATCAGAACGTATCAAAACGTCTCAGAACGTCTCAGAACGTCTCAGAACATCTCAGAACATATCAGAAGGTCGCAGAACATATCAAAACATATCAAAAAGTCTCAGAACGTATCAAAACGTCTCAGAACATATCAGAAGGTCTCAGAACATATCAGAACGTCTCAGAACATATCAGAACTCTAGCAAAACATTAAACCCAGAGCAACATATCCAAAACTCAAGAATGCATACAAACTTATAAATACAGAGTAAATCCAAACACAGGCCAACAAAATTTAACCAGCATACTTGGCACATGAGTTGAAATTCCCTCTCACATAACAATCACACTTTCACATTCACAAGGCGTCCCTTCTTCCACACGAAAGGCGTCCCCCTCCACAAACTCATGGAATATCAGATTCATATGTCCAAGTGCACAAATCTAGTTAATTAGCCATAAAAAAAAATCATGACTAAGCTACCCCTAAAACTATGATACATAATCCGCACAAACTTGCCGACCAGC